CGCTATGGAACACTAGAACATCAGTTTAACCAGAGAGAAACCTTAGGTCCACTAAAAATAGTATGACCATCAACTCAAAGTTTTTTCATAAATAAACACAGTGAGAATTAACAGAGTTGTAAAAATTGGTCTTGTGCGTGTCGTTCTTCAATTGTATAAGCATGATACTGTGTCATCTTTTTTCCGGCAGCAGTCCATTGGCGTCTCAGTTGCTTAGCGTAAAATCAAGCGATCAGCTGAAAGGCTTAACGTCATGGATATTATGTGCGGCAATTAAAAGAAAATTCAAACATTCTTAGTCATATTGCGGAATCGCGAAAGTCCATAACGTGACTTTGCCTTAAGAGTTACCTTCCCAGCAATTGACCAAGGACGGAGAGTATTTATGATGAGAACTGACAAACAAATACGTCATGCACAAACTAACATCGAATCATGGCTAACAGCTAGGAAATAACGTTAGATTGGGTTTAACTTCACAAGGTTATAGGGAATCAAAAAGCGCACCTTTAAAGTGCAGCTATGTGCACTAAATAAGCTCTTGAATCAGCACCCTATGAATATAAAAAACCTTTAAGGCAGTGCCCTTCTAGCTGTGCTGCTCTGAAAGAACTGTCTGAAATGATCTGTGTAATCGTTTTGTAGGGACCCTGAGCAGGAATGCACTCGTCGATGAAATTATGTATCGAGGGCTCAAAGACTGAGTAAAAAAAAGAAATTTGAAAGCAATCTCTTGCCAGGAACTACTGGGATATTTCGCATTTTTTCTAAGTTAGCGAGATACAGCTTGCCATGAAATGGAGAGAAGTGAAATGGCACAAACAGGTAGTTCATGGGATTGAAGTAATTTGCAGAAAAAAATTTCTGAAAATATTGGCTTTTGCATGATAATACCGTACATGCATATTCATCAAGGACTAACTTGGAAACCCCCCTTCTGAGACGATCTACCTATCACGATCATATATGTTTCTCTGTAATCTCACTGGTAATGACACGGTAATGCAAATCGCTTAGTTAAGGTTCCAACGCTTTAGCATAAGCACGTAGCAGGTCTACGCCCACCATAGGAAGAAATCTAAAAGAACGATGAGTCCACCATGGCATGCAAAATTCACCTTTCGATTAGGATATGCACTTTCAAATCAATATTCCCGTGTAACAACATGGCTAATATATGATGTAGGCCTATGGCCAAACTGTTTGGCTTGGGGTTGGATAATGATTAGCCGTGCGCTTCTCGCGAATCATGTTGCACCATCTTAGTCAAAGGGATAATGATTTTTAAAAGACCATTGATTCCAATAGTCCAATAGATACTCGTTTGGAGAAGAATAATCATGTTAAACTTTCTTCGATCTCCGATATACATACGTTACGGTCTTCCTAATTTTTCCGGTCTCTTCCCTGAAAAGGTTATTTGTTACATATGATATAAATAAAGAATACATGCAACTAAAGCTAATTAAATTGAGTTTGTTTACGCTGCGTTATTTCGACATAAAAATCATAGATCAGGTAAATGTTCTCTTTTGCTTAATTACGTCGTAATTGAGCTGAGGCGTCTGCCCATTGGCACACATTCGAAACTGAGCTATAATTATATTGGGTGAACCAATATACTTAAATAATTCTTTAGCTTTATTGCTATGTTAGATGTCTTTATTTTCCCCTTGCCTGAAACCTTCATTAAAAAGTCCGGACTGCAAGGTTAATACCTTAGCAGTCTTTACGGTATATGATTGGACCTGCGCTTGAGACCGAAATTTCAAAGCAGTTAGTGTGTACTAATCGACGCATTCTTTGTTACGTCATCTTTCATATTAGCGTATCTTTCCTTTTCAGCCGGTTTTTATAATTTTTTTCTACAAATTTATTGTGTACTTATGTGTTATTGGGGTCAAACACTCCTGTGCAAGAGTACTAAATTGGATAAGGTATTTCCTTGAGTTGTCAAGAACAGGGCAAAAATTGCATGACAACTAATTTCCTGTTGGCCCGCAAGGTTATTGATGAAGATTTGGAATGGCAAGTTTGATATACTGGGATGATAGTCCAGCAAATCTCTATCTGATTGGGCTTTTAATGGAAAGGATCAATATTGAATGAATGAAATGTGGAGGATTCTGGTCTGTGTCGCACGAATTGAGCGTTAAAATTACAGAAAGTCTATCCTTTTCAGTTATATATCATTAAAATTTGATACTGATTTAAATGTATGAAACAGTTTTCAACAGTATTTTTAGAAAAGTTTGTAAATTACTTGCCGTCGACTCGTGATTTAAAACCCTTTATTGAGTTTTCCCACCATCCTGGGTGGGTTATTACGCCAGTCAATCAACAGAAAGAGCGGTCTATTGCTTAGCTAAGTGCTGATTCATTACGAAGATCCGTTACACAAAATTTCCTTTCGACAGACCACGACTTAATTATGACTTAAATGCGTATTTGCTAAGAAGGGATCTATTTGAACATTAATTCTATTTAACGATCGACAAGAGCTGATGCAATTCTTAAGCAAGCACTTGCGTGTCTAGCCATGATCTCATTTGCATTTTCTGCTCTCTTGCTGTCAGCGGCTCTCGACCGATGAGCCCGTGAGAATTAACGAGAGGTCGCGCGGCCGCTTTCTAAAGTAATAGAAAACTCGAGACCAAATTGGAAATTGTGGCTAAGCATAGCGGAAAGGATGGTGAAAAGGATTTTCGTGTTTGTGAACGATGTATCGAAATAATTTTATAGTTACGTTTTCTGTTTTTGATTTTCGATCTTATTGAAGGCAATTTGATTGTTTTTCCGTGGCTGCAAAGAACACCTTGCAAAGGATGCAATGTAAAAAAGAATATACATTGACTTTTAAAGTGATGCGGGAGGCGAACTAAATGTTTTCAGACTGCCTATACTTTCTGGTGATAGCATGATTACCCAACAAGAAAGGTCTGTGCTAAATTTGAAGTCTCGAGAGTAACGCGTTTATAAGATATATACGAAGGAAGTTTGTTTCTGAGGACTATTTACCGCGAAAAACAAGACTACATACTGACTTTGTCGTTAACGATATAGGAAGAAATGCGTGCCAACCACTCAGTTTATTATGAAAGTACAAAGGTATTTCCACCGGAAGTCAATTCATTACTTCTTTTGGCATTCTTTGAGCTTCACCAATCAAGTGAAGAGCCCTTGAATTCCAGTCGGGCGCCACAGAAGAAAATCTCTCAAGGGCGCTAATAAAAACAAGATCCCCGTGCAATTTACAGGAAGATCACGAAAGGTAGTGAAAAACATAAATGCCCCTGTGATTTGCCTGCGGTTACGATTAAGAGAGCAAAGGAAATAATTATTGGAAACGATAAATCCTTGAGCTGATAGTCAGTAGTTGGATGAACAGAATAAACTTGTTGCTTAACTGAAACCGACTCACTACTTCCTTCCGTGAACGGTAGGCAAAATATTTAAGCAATAGACCGCAACTAGTACTTCTATCGGTTTACCGGCGCAATAAACCACGCGGGTTGTTGGGAGAACACGAGAAAAATTTATTAATAAGAACCACAGGCGACTAAATAAGAAACTTTTCGAGTATTCTCATCAAGTCTCAATTGCTTTTTTACGCTTAGAAAGTGTGATCCATTGCTTTATTAAAAAAATAACCAGTGCAATAAATGATAGGTTTTTTTGACCAATCATACCATATTATAATCTTAATTAAAAGCATTTATTTCGATTTCCTACTTTAGAAACTTATTTATAGCCAGCATAAGTGGATTAAATGACACGTGCTTGAATATCTTTTTTCCTTTCGGTGGCCAACGAAGATGATCGCTTCCAAGTGCGGCCACAGACGATGAAGATATTCTGGGCGTAATTAGTTCCGGATTTGGAACGAAAGATTCCATTCTCAGTGCCGTGTTGCAGCATTTTTCGATGATCATATGTTTATTTTTGGGTGTAGCTCTCTCCTCCACATATTTCTGTTTATCGCTTTTTTTTTTGTTCCTTTGTCTTGTTTCTTTTTACAAGGCTATTGTTGAGTCTCAAAGGTTTTAACATTAAGAAAAGAGCCAATTTTTCGCTTATCGCTGCACTGGTTAACCCTGAGCGAAATCTTAGCCTTTTGAAATTTTTAGCAAGTGGTTCCTTGTTTCCCTGAGCCTAAGATATTGATACAAATGTTCCCTCTCTGTTTATGGCAGAACCTCTTGATCTTGTCACACGAATCATGTAAACACAAATTGATTCCACGAAGGGGAAAACATTCCCGCCCGTTTTGCACGCTGCAAGGGTCTTTTTTGTTATAAAATGCAAAATCAACTGACTAGTCCTAGGCTGAACTGAGATATTTTTTGAAACAGGCAGCGCGGCTATTAATAGTGGCAACGTTCGCCATAAGTAAGTGGATCAGGATGCCATCCTTCAGATCATTGCAAGCAAAGCACTGCTTACTAAGAAGACACACATGAGAGTTTGTCAGAAGCTACGACTGAAATAGAATTGCTTTAGTCGAGCAAAAGCTATCTAAGCAATTTTCCTACTCTAAACTCAAAATACACCGAAAAGTACTAACAACATTATTGTGAGAAAAACGCCTATCAAAATTCAAAATAGAAAAATGCATTATTTTCAAAAATTACCCACTGGAGAGAAAAATAAAACAAACTGATCTGAACAAATGATTACGAATGTGAACATTCTGCCTTGTGGTTAGAAAACAATTAAAAGGGATGAAAATAATGTTAAAACTATTCAAAAGGGATTCTACCAACCGCATCGCTGTAATCAGATATTAGGTACAGTCTCGCTTCCACAGCCTTAATAAACATTTCAAAGTGGAAGCCTTGCTAAAATATTTACCAATCATTTGACTAAAGCTCTGGCCATATGTCGCATGGTGGCCCCTTTTCCACTAAGTTATATATTCGTCTAACTATGAAGTGCAAGAGAGAGAAATTCGTCAAAGGAGATGCAACTGATATTGAGTGTGCAAATGTATTCCTTTTCAGAGTTTCGATGGCGGTTTGGAAAATTTCTTGTCGTGCTGTTTATAGAACAGTTGTGCACGTGGAATACCGATAGTCCTGCTTTTGTGAGTCGGTAAGTATCTGAACGAATAACTTTTTTTTTTTTTAAACTTTATAAACCTCTTCTCTGTGTGTATCGCTACATATTTGTGGTGAACCCCCTATTGTTATGTTGAGCTCACGTTCAGAACGACTTCTTAATGGCTCACTGAGACTGACAGTGGCTCTTCGCAAGCCAGGCCAATTGTAACAACGAGAGTCGAACTTGATTCTGTTATATTCGTCGACAAGACGTCGCTCTCTCACATGCAGCCTCAAAACTTGACCTATGTTGCTCAGCTCCTACCAAAATGTTACAAATTAGACCGTAGGCATTTCTGCTTTAAGAGTCATAAGTTTGGTGTTTACATGAGCTACGCATGTAAACTTAGCTTACTTCATATTTTTTTCTTAGTTAGGCCACACTGCAAATCTTTTTAATGAACGCTCTCATTGCAAATATATTATCATTTTTCATTAGATAAACATTATCATCCCTACCACAATATTTCTTATTGTTATTATCTCTAAAATCATTGTTACAGTCATCATCATCATTGTCCTTAACATCACCATTATCCTCGATATTAATATCATTACTATTATCGAATTTTCCTCTGTGATGCTGCGTGTGCCAAGTATCTTCTTTTTCCAATGGTTATATGAAAGCAAAGATCTTCTCAGTTCTATTGTATATATAAAGAGCTTTTTCTGTGATAATTCATTTTGTTAACAGTATTTCTCAAAAATCGGATGGGAGCAATAGAAGCTAATTATTAATAAAAAAAAGTGTGAAAAAAGTTTTCATAAGATAATCCAGGAAAGGAAGGACAGGCCATGGCGTCTTCAAAGTTTAATTTCAAGAACATCGCCAAAGTTGTGCTCGTAGGCATAACCAAATTCCTTAGTAATTTGTACAACGCAAGTATATAAGTTGCAGATTATTTTTGTATTTCGGTCTCGTTACATTTTTGACTTTTTGCCAGGTCTGATGATGTAATAAAACGCGGAAAAAAGCCAAATCCGATATTATTCGCTGGAACACTAAGATTACATTCGTAAACACATGTTAAGAAAAGCACATTAATCGAGGCCTCTTGGTATTAGAAACGAACAGGCCCATTGAGTTTCAAAAGCAGGTAAGACTTGAAGTTTATTCCTATAACAAAATCAACTTATTCTCTTAAAAGTCCTATTTTCTGCCAAACAAGATACATGACATGCTATAGGAGTTCCGATTTTGTTGCTCTCGTTTTTAAATGCACGTGCATCATGACCACTAGCAAGAAATTTGCGGGTTGGTTGACGGGCACTGTAAAAGTTCTCACAATTCTTTTTTTTATCAAATTCGACAGAAAATGGACAAAAATCATTTGAGCGAGAAAAAAAAATACTATTTAAGTTTTTCTTTGACATTTTATAAGGTTACTACTCTACCTTCTAATGAAAACATAGCGGTCCTCAATGTACAAATTGAATACTCACTGATCTTTAGTGTGACCAATGTGACTGGATATTGGTCGCTCATGCATTGCATGGCCAGATACGAAGTGAGGTCCATGAAAAGCGAAGAAATTGCTAGGCTGATATTCGATCATCTCTAGATCGAAAAAAAAAATGGTCATTAGAGGATTTATTCATAGCCAAAAGATAACGCCAAAATTCGTCAGCATTCTACTAAGCTGACAGTCTTGCAAGTTCATCTATTTCTTTTCTCTTTTTTGACATTTATAAGTTTAGGAATAAATATTTGTTACATAGTTACCAACAAATGGATCAATCGCTTCGGGGTTTCAACATTTCCTCCGCCTCGGCCTTTGACCGTCGTCCGTGCCCTCCGGATGGGAAATTTAACCTCGCCTGCATAATAGGGGTGAACCGGTGGTGTCAAGACTTTCCATCGATATACAAGTGTCATATATTTAAATAAGGAGGTGTTTAATGTGAATAGCTCATTTCCGCGAGCGAATGGCTCAGAACAAAGGTCAACGAGGTCTAGTTTTCAAAGCTCGGTCAACGTGTAGAAAGTCACGGTCGCTGATTTTGCCTCTTCGAAAATTGGGTGGGGCATTTGAACGCAATTTTTGCCTCAGTGAAGGGGTATTTGAACAAACCATTTCTCAAAAGTTCAAATGTCCGAATTGATCGACTTATAAATACTAGCATTTTTGTATTTGCTATAGCTGATGTCTCCACAACACCCAAAAAGGAGATACTACTATTAAGAAGATGAAAATCATGTCCTTATTGTTATCATACAAATACATCATCATGACGTTGCTGCTTTACAAGGAAAATTTGTTTTATTTTACAAACATTACTACTGACAGCGCCCTCGAATTTTTTCGACAGGAAATATAATCTTTTCAAGGAACGAACTATATTTTCGTAGTGAGAATGGAAAATGTCTCCTACGACTCGGGTTTAAGTGTCGGTCATCAGGGTAAATTTGGAGCTCTTAAAGTTTGTGATTTAAAATTCAGATTTTCAATTCTGGAGTTTTAAATTCTCTCCGGTTCTAATATTTAATTTACTTGATGAACAGGATATCATATGTCTACTTGCGGAAACAGGGTTTCTATATGGGATGTAAGGAAATAGCCTCCTTTGTTTTAATTCATTGATATTCAGTGTCAGTCTAAATTGGAGTGAGGTCAAACTCACTGCATCCTGCCATAAGTTCTTGAGTATTACTCTGTCTATGATAATTCAGGTTTAGTACTGGTGTCTAGCATTAATTTTTGAATGACGGTAAGACTGAGGAGAAAAAAAAGTTGTCACTGGCAATGCAAGTGTTTCAACTTTCCAGTCACTAAACTTAAAGCACCTCATGGCTGATGAACATAGTTTCTTTACTCTCACTTACAATTTTGTTAATGGCGTCTTCACAAACGGGTTACAGTTAAATTCATTATTTAATTTGTTATCACGTCGAACGATTACGGGAACAATAAGGAGCTTACGTGATTCCAGAGTAGTTAACGAGATGGAACACGCCGAACTATTTAGGTCAAGGATAGAAATCGCGTAATTCTGAAACACAAGAATCTCCAATCTCATCAAACTGATGCAAGAGTGGATTAACTTTCTTACTTATTTAGTTGTTTATTTCGTTGTTAGTCGATCAGGTGCGGTTGTCACAAAATGGTAAAGTATGCCTTTTAGGCTCAAAAACAGCAATATAGAATTCGGTTGTACTTCTCCATCAAAATTGACCTTCAAAAGAGGCAACGAGAAAGAAAGAAAGAAAGAAATTGAAAACCACTGCACCAGCTAATTGTACCTTGCACCCAAGCGAGACGCGATCGTTGATGGATATTACTCTTTAATTTCCTTTAAAGGTGAATTTTTCTTACCACGCTTGAATCAATTTGGTTGATAAAGTTTAATTCAATGAATGAAAATAGAAGCTTCGAAAGAACCGATGACGGCGAAGACTCTATTCATGATACCATTATAATGCCGTAGTAGAAATCTCAAACTAATGACAATTTAGGATCTAGAAGTTCAACGAGTTGCCCTATGCCAAATCTCGCAAAATTAAGCTTATGAGATATCTTGCAAGGGTATTTTTAATTTCAGTTAAGCTGTTTTCCTAAATAGGTTTGTAAGACTTGCTGGAAAGGTTATTGAAATAGACTCGGCGTTAAAGAAAAAAGAACAGACATTGAGGGCCTGGACGCTTCCTTCCGATTCAAGTTGTCTTGTTGCTACCTCTCCCCTGAAAAACGGAGGAATGAGTTTGAACTGCCCATCAAATAGATTCAGTCAAAGGCATTCATTTCCTTTTGACATATGGGAGCTGCAACTCTAAGTTGTATGGTACGCCGCCTCTTTATTCTTACCTCGCTCTAATTACCACGACTGGAAACAAAGGGTGGGTAGAATAGCTAAATGATGCATGCATATTCGATTTTCGCTACTATTACGAAATCCGAAAAAGAAATCGACTGATTGTTTCAGTCTATTTTAAGAATTCTCAGCTTCGTCTGATGGATCATTTTAATCTGTTATATCAAGAATACTTTTCATTAAAGATTTGGGTCAATACTACTCCATCGTAAATCGAGTGCGTCGCCTTAAAATATTTTGTCAGTTGCTCGAGCCTGCTAGCCTTGGATCTTCTGATATCTTCAAACTATTGATTGTGTCAGGCTCAAAACACTTTTTTACTATTGTAGGTTTTGAAACAAAAACTATGAAACTCAGGGATTGGACTATTGTATTTTGAATTAATATTTATTAAAGAAGAATGAGGTCGTGAACAATTAGCTATTATTTGATATTTTGAACTTTAAGACGTTTTTTCTCTATCACTCCTTTGGTGGGGCTGAAGTATTGTCTGCCACCTGTTGCTTTTCTTTAAGATAAAGTCCAATATACTTTGTCTATTTTTAACTTTCTTAATGCATCTGATAGCTAAAAACAACTAAGTGTAAATGTTTATTTACAGCAATCGTGCCTTATACAATAGGCACAAAGCCAAAAGTGAACTAAAAAAATGAGTATAGCGACTACCCACCAGCAGTCCTTCCTGCTGAGAATTCTGTGGCACTTCCTACACAACAGTGACTTCTTTATTGACTTTGGCAGTCCTGAGGTACGTGAAATAATTTCACGACCGTGATATCAAAATTCAATAACAACGAAGAATCATTTTAGAACGGATGTTGCACTAAACTGAAGTATACAGTGCTTAAGCCATTATCGGAGAGTTGGTGATTCATCCAGCGATCACAAAATCAATAGTCTAGCCGACATCGAATATAGCTGTTGCTTATTATAACGAAAGAACGAGACAAGAGGTGGTAAGGATCAAAACATTAGCTCATTAGAGGGTGGTTTTGTGGTCACTATACAGAATTCGATCTATCATTTTGTGCAATAAATAATAAAGCAAAGTTGCTGGTTTAAAATGCTTTTTTTGACTGAAGAGATTGAGCATTGAGTTTCCTAAGTGTATTTTTAATTTGTTGTTATCCTCCCTTTTCCCACTTTTTATATCAGTATGAGTAAGAATTCCTACCAATAAGGTACTTTCCAAGATATTTCACGGATAGTCCTGAGGTAAGGTAGACGGCGACAAACAACAGCCAACAACAAAAAGATCAGTAGGGACAGTATCTTTTTTTAGTCTCGGTTTGGAAAATTTCCATGATGAAAGCCAATATATAGCAACCTGAATATATGAAAATTAGGCCGTTCGATAGAAAATTAATTCCTTCGGTTAGATTTTTCGTTTGCCTTATCCTTCAATTAGAGGACGAAACATGCTCACCACTAAGTAGAACAGCTTTGTCAAAGTTTCTAGATTTCGAAAGAAGGTTACTTCTGTTGTTTAATTATGTCATTTTGAATCTGTGTCAGTCAGCGATCTTCTCCATCTTCATAAAAACTTTTAAATTTTTCTTTCCTTTTGGTTCACTATTTTAATTTTGCTCTTCGGTATTAGTCCGCCCCTATGATAATTACTTCAGATTTTCATTCCGAAAAGGGATATTTCCGTGGATCCATAAAAAAAGCTTAAAATATTGTGAAGTAACTCCTTAAAAATTAAAAGAATATTCCTCGTTGTCGAGAACCATATAGCTCATTTATTAATATCGGCGAAGTGTTTGATATTAGCAATGCAGGAGAAGTGGAGAATATTTTCGTTACTTAGGATATAAATTCTTATTTCATTACTTTTTTTTACCAGCTTAATCATCTAACTCTCAAGTGATGGAATGATCTACATCGCATGCACCGGCGATTCAATACTAAACTAAAAATAGACGTACATGCCGTGTACTTCATCTCATTTCAGTAATCACATTACTTGGGAAACGACATCAGGCCAAAGAAGCATTTATCTAATCCCCTCTTTCAAAGCGGGTTCCACGTGTAGGCAGCAACTCGTGATCTACCCACGAGATTAACTAAGATCATTCTGTGTCATCTTAGGAGGGAAATACAAACATTATCTCGAAAGTTTACTTTCACAACCATATCCTCTTTTAAATGTTGTAAAAACAAATCTGCCGAAAATCACGAAAATACAGTCTCCATATTCATTATGGAAAGCTGTCTGATAGCTGAAGCTTAGGACTACTTTTACAAAGATTGACTCTCTTCAGAGTAAACCAAATATTGGAAAAAAAAATCGCAGGGCATACGTCGTTAAATTTTTTCTCACTCCGAGAATTTCAGTTAAATTCATTTTTCATCACTTTCGCCTTCAATTCTTCTATAGTGATCAAGACGCAGCTTCAAGACACGATATAGTTATTTCACAATATTGCTGTCTCTCCGACCATGTCCGTTGCAGACTACTGATGACGAATGGGAAGGGGTTTAGATATGAAAACTTCCTTCAGGAACTACCTGGGGGTGGACTTAGACTTTATCCAAGGCCGCCAAAAGAGATTTCAGGGGCTGAGAATAATTCTGACATATGCTTAGATACCACATTATTTTCACGCTGTTCTTTTAATCCTACCATTGCGGAAAAATTGTCGCAATTGTCATAATCTTCTAGGTTTGTCCCACACTTGTAATTGCCACCGTAATTTTATTTCCAAACGTTTTCTAACTCCATAGGGGGCGGGAGGATTTAAGACTATTATCTACCAGAATATCGGCTCTTTCTTTGAAGCTCAGAAAGCGAGTTAATAACTTTGTGTTGACTACAAAGCATTATCTAGTCATCGCCTACATTTTAATAGCATGATCAATGGTTCTGTGCAAGAAGGGAGATTATTTTAACTTCATGTCAGAAACCCTCTCATTTATTTTTACTTGAAAGGTTTGTTTGATATGATATGTGCAAGAAAAAACAAGATCAACCATTCTATATTGTCGATCCATTACCATCTCAGAACATTTACTCTGTAGAGGGGACTTGCTTAAGTCCCGTAAATTTAGAAATTGTACGCTGTGCTTCCAACCCGCTAACCTCTGGTAAAAGGAAAAGGTCCTGAGCCTTTATATTTACATCCATTTGTCACTTCCTTTAATCTAAGATTTGCATACGCTCACCAGTTGGGCTGTTTTTTGTAGTATGACAAATTGCTGATGGTGCTGACGTCCAATCGATTTCATTCGTTTCTTTTTAGCAGCTCAGGATGAAAGATCTGGTCAGTACCCTTATCTTATTGTTCACTCTGATGTCACTTATCACTTTTACCAGTGGAACACAGCCTCAAAATGGCGGCCAGTTCACTCAACGCGAAATAGACGCCTACAAGAGATGCAAAAGCACAGCTTGTGTTGCCCGAGTCTCTCTTTGTATCATAAATAAAGATTGCGCAAACTGCAGGCCTATAGCTGGAAAAAACTGTACATGTTGCGAGGACTGCTTCAGATGCCTTGGTCAGAAACTCTGGAAAAAATGTTGTGATTGTGTTGGTCTCTGCACTCACACTCCTCGCAATGACACGAACAGCACGCAGCAAATATCAAGCAGTTACGGTGACTTGAGCAGGTCTATACCAACTATGTTTGACATTATCAGTCAAGGATCACATTTTCCCATTGCCTTCATGACAAGGGGCAAAAAAGGTTGGTATTTTGTGTTTGAAGAAGTCTTAAGTTTAAGAGCGATTCGAAAAAGGTACCAGCACCTATCAGAAGTTGGCTAATGACTCGGTTTCACGTTCGCCAGACGAATCGATCGAAAATGTTCAAATTGGTAAAACAAAATATCGTTTTTGCTATCACATTGCACTAAAGAAAGGACAATCAATCTCTGGATGAGATTGTTACTCCAGATACAATGATAAAGATATTTATGCACAATTAAGAGTACCAATAGAACGACAAAAAACATCCCTTTGGAAATATTTTACGGTGATGTTTCAACGCTTTCCTATTTGACTTATCAACTTTTGTTGGCTCCTCGAGAAAGGGAGCAATGACTTCTAAATGCAGAATCAGCAATTAGCAGCACCGCATGTGTTGGATACCCTAAACTTTAATGCAAAGATATAGAAAGTTGATCGTGAAAACTCTGCCTTATTGTTAAGCGGTGTTGTGGAGAATACCCCCTAATTTTTAAAGAGGCAGAACTATCCTGTGGTGATATTAAAATGTCGAAATCAATCATGAACAGTTGATCTAGGCTTGACGAGCGTTCGAATACCGCCAGCTCTCGATTCAAAAAAACCTGAAATAGAAAATATAGTCCTTCAAAACGAACCATGAAATACAACAAAAGGATCGCGTACACGCGCGTACATGTTTGAAACAATACAAATCCTTCTGAACTGATTTTAAGTGCCCAATTCAACATGACGAAAATGGACAGAAGGGTACAGTTGAATGAAAATTAAATTAATTAATTAAAAGCGAATCAAATATTGCGGCATTTGGATCGATCTACGTTATTCCTTATGTTTGTGGTTCGTTAGTCCAAGAATAATCACTTTGAAATAATCAGACGATAAAGATCGTAAAACTAAAGCGTCGATCGATTTTGATAGGCTTGTACACATCGTGTAATTTTTCAAGCATTCTGAAACGCAACTGTCTCAAAACACAATTAAATTTCTCCAAATTTCACTCAATGAAGTACAGTAAGAAATCTTCGATTTCTCTATCAATATATTTCCCAAAATAAATCTGGTTTTTAAGAAAAAAAATTTGGCTCTGCCTGTTCCTCTGCGTTTACCGTCAGTTTTGTTATGAATTCGCTGACACTGAGCGGTAACAGTCTCCATCAACGGGAACTCCAACGAAAAAGTAATACCAACTTTCGTATCGTGAGAACTTAGCTCATCAAATAATTTATTTTTGTTTAATTTCGCGTTCTCAAGTGGTTGCTGAATCAGGTTGCTTTGTGCTTATTTAAGGCGCTGCGGTCAATACATACAAGTTTGTCTTCCGTAAAATCAATGGGATATTAACCTTAGTAAGGCGGTTGGGCGAGCAAAATAGTAAACTACAGTGTTACAGTAAGTATGCATGATCAAAACTGCAACAAAATGAACTAAAAATGTAACTATGTATGAGAAGCTGAGCCGGTTAATCCACTGAGGCAACATGAGTGTGCTATGTTCGCTAAAAACATCGCATCTAATGACTATTCTGGTCTACTGTGGACATTCTCTATGTAATCATCTGGCTTAGTTTACGTATCGTAAATAGACCTTTCATACATTTATCGCTCCGTAAATCACAGTCCTTAAAATGGCACGCCAAAATTGCACAATGCTTCATACTCGGCCAAATAACAACTAATATACTACGGAAAAGCAATATCACAAACTTATTTTAGTATCACTTTCTTTTTTTGGATCGAGCAATTGCAATAATAAAAAGGGCGGAAAGAGAAGAAAGCGCACTTTAAAACTGTCACGTTTGCCAAATATCTAATGGTCTCAAATACTGGTACAATAACTGAGTGCACACTTTTTCGAAGGTATCTTTAGAAAAAATACTTTCTGCCATGCATTCAACATCGTCTTTCCCACTCTATATTGCAGGTTCGTCAAACCATTGCAAAGTAGCTTTCTTTCATAGGTGCGTCGCGAAAGAAGATTGCATTGTGTCCTGCGGGGACATGGGATCTCATAGGTACCGCTGGTTCCGGAATGGCTGCTGTCAGTGCGTAGGGCACCGATGCAAAGACTACGGAGAACTTCAACCTCTCTGCCAGATGTGCGGGATCAATTAAAGCTCTGCATATGGTGTCAAATGAAATAGAGTTTTGCCTTCTTTAAAAGAGACTTTGCATCGCTAATGAGGGGGAAAATAGTTTACAAAGGATCATAAAGTTATATTTCTTCTCCAAGAATCTTAATCACAACATCACCACTGATCGATACCATTTGCTACACCAATCGTTTGCTACACGGTAATCCAGTTTAAAACGCAGAATAGATAAGAAAACTTGAGAGCATTACTGAAAAAGAACATTTGTTCATTCCAATTTCTATTCCCCTTCTAGCTAGAAATATTGTTAAGACACTAGAGAAGAGAACTAAACAAGAATTCTGGGGACAGAGACATCCGCTTGTTTCAATTCATTCCCCATCTTCTTTCGGCTGTTATGACATCGTCACTCATATGTTCCCTATGTAACGTTGAGAGGACAAACTAGCTCGGATTATCCTTAAAAATATGGATATGAGCTTATCTTCTCTTAGTTACAAATAATTTTTTATACCATGGCTTCGAGTTATCCTTGGGCTTCAGAATCGAATGGGAATTTCCTGCTGATGTCATGAGAGTCCCATACTTGATACATCAAGTTTTCTAACTTAAACCTTCACTGAAATCTTATTCTCTGTGATATCGAATTAATGTCGAATTGAAAAATACAGTATATCTCAGCTGCAATTTGTTCCCAGAAAATTAACTACAGTGTAATCTGCTTAATTGTGCAGTGCACACTTTTTGCAATAGTTACAATGAAGAAACATAGATTCATTACACAAGCAAGGAACATAGGCATTAGAGCAAATAGGTCGCCTTTGCCTACAGTCGGAGAAAGCTAAATTCGACCTTCAGTTTTTGCAGTCATTTGCTAATTCAAGCCGGTAAAAGTTTACGTTTTCTAAGTTAAGGATGGTCAAGGGAGCTACGTCATAGTTTAATTTGTGCGTTCATATAAAAAAAACATGTATCCCATACCTTTAAAGCTTTTTATTTGCAAACCGTTTGAATCTTCTTCTTAATTAGCCATTCCTTCAATTTTGCTCAACCCTTTTTGCATATTTATCCAACACCACTCAGTTAAAGTTTGTTATGTCTCTCAAGTTAGAGGTCGTTTTGCAAGTCACAAGAATTGACACAAGGTGGTTCCCTTAAACGCATAATAAATAAAAGACAATAAACGATTAAAGCATACCTTATGGTTTGAAGAGCCTGCCGTTTGGAAGAACGAGCAACTTTTGGGGGCGATCGATGATCCGCGTGAACACAATGCCCACGGCATGTTTACCTATGTAGGGAAAATACGGGGTCACTATTAGCATGCGTTACTCGGCGGTTAGTCTTGTCCGATGAGTTCATAGCTAACCATTTTTGTTTGGAGCTGCAACTGATTCACGCACCCAATGATCAACTGGCCACCGTATAGAGTTTCTAAAGCTGACGTTTCGCATTAGCCCCTCATAAGAGCGAATAGAGGAGTAGAGGAATTGTGGGTTGACTGTTTGTGTGCAGGAAAATAGAGCCACGCTATTGGTTGAAACATGGAAACGTGACAACACGAGAATAAATAAGTTGAATGGAAATGAGGATATAGAGTGCCGATTTGAAAGATAAATTTTTGTCCTACAGTTTTGCATATCTTGTTTCGTCGAAAGGGTTTGCTGTTTCGCGGCGGTTAGGCAACCAGCATCGCTTTTAAAAGGGTCCGTGAATAAATTATATGAGTTCATTGAAAATTGAGAAGACGGTTACAAAATAGTTACAGTGCCGAGTATACTAAATTCATGGCCATGTTTTCTTTATTTCGGAGATCGCCGGTAGACAGATTCTGGCCTCTAGTTTAGCCGTTGGTTTCATCTACTTCTCTGCTCTTTCTCTGGGTAGCACTTTTTTTCCGCTATTCCACTTTAGGATTCATTCTCTTGGACCTCACTTTCCCCATGGATGTAGATTTGCGACTTGACTGTAGAATCATACATCTCCAGCGAATTTGAAAAGACTATTAAACCGAACCCTACAAGAATTTTTGTGGTTTTTAATAAGAGATTATGAACTGTTTATATTCTTTAGTTCTTACCTACTTATATCTATTGAAGGACAGACGCAAAGATGACGTCGCTATTCGCAAAATTTTGCTTCTTCATCTTATAAAACAAATACATTCCTTGTTGCCGTGGGTCTTTACAGTAATTCAGTGATCACTGACATACTAGGCTGCGCCTCGTGTACCACTTTGTTCTCGCCACATTTTGAAGTCATCACAGACGCACGGAGACATGGAAACTATTTTTATTTGGAACCTTTTGGGGTTCAAAGCTCGTATTTCTTTAGTCTACGGTATGACCGCGTTGACAATTGCTTTGATGAGTTGTGATATGCTCTGAGTAAAATTTTAGGAGCCGAAAATTCAGAATTTTTTTGCGTGGATTCCCTAGCTTAAAGCGCCTGGATATGGTATGTAGATCTTACGGATTTTTACGAAACTAGCCTAGAAAATGTTCACTGGTTTTTAACGCGCCAAAATGCCTGATTCTTTTTTGATATTTCAAATACTATTCCTTTCAGGCCTTCTTATGTAAAGAGGATCGGCAAGCACCGTATTTCATTAGCCGAGTTCAAGTAGATTTTCTCGGCAACCAATAGGAGAAGCCTCACACACTTATGCATATCATCAACTGCTGATTGGCACTTTGCGGTTTATTTTTTTGTGCGTGCGAACACTAAAGGCAGGTAAATCAGTTTATATCACACATGGTCAATTTGGCGTAAAAGAGCTTGCACACGCTTACCATTATATCAAATCTTTTTGATATAGCCATTTCTTCGGATTCTTGAGTTTTTAAGCGTCACAGTGATAAATATTTTTGTTTTTCTTATTAAAAGCGACGTGCGTATGAACGACTTTCCGGAAGACACCCCCTGAAGGTTCCCAGAAACCTTTATGCTGATCGACGCCTTGGAGAACGAGATTCACAAAGAGTAAGAGACTTATCACTAAATGCTGTTTAATCACTTCCTAAAATCATTTTATATTAATGTCATTATCAAGCAATGTACTATAGTTTCCTGCTCGCCTGTTCATTTTCAAAATCGGTTTGAAATCAGTTGACTCAAACAAAACCCCTGATTTTTTTTCACGAAATCTAGAATGCTCCTGTGCTTCAGTGATTTTATCGACTGCTGAGGACAACTCGTTTAGAGTCTTGGAGTTGGACTTTTGAGACACAAATGAAAAGAATTTGAATATTTTCTAACGATGAGAGAGTGCGTGTTAGTCGTGTGAGAGAAAGTTTTTAAAGCGGCATTTGATTGGGAAAAAGATGGAACTGCCATTTACGAAGGAGTCGCTTAGAGAGGATAATCGCCCAGGAGAATGTTCGGGTAAATGAGTGTCGATTGGACTTTGTTTGTTGTAACATCTCGGCATTTGGGTGGCCGCATGAGAATAACCTTTTTCTAACTTCAGTTGGACATCAGTTGGACAACAAGGTTATGATCCCTGCGCCTGTTTTGGTGCCAAACCGTCCGAAATATTTTCTGCTCGTTTGGTGCCAAACCGTCCGAAATATTTTATGAAAAGTATCTTAGTTTAATATACGAGCTCGTCAAAATACGGCACAAGTCGTAAAATACTCAGCGATACTACACACCAAAACGTCGAATAAAATATATGTATTAAGAGGAACGAAGACATATCGAAACGGTGGAACAGTTATCTACATTACACTCTTTATTGTGCGCCTATCGGTCTTGCACTGTTCCACTGGCTTAGTTTTGTGTCTCAATAGAAATTCGGTGGGGTAGCGCCATATTTAACTTTAGCACCGTCTTCCAATAATTTTGCAACAGTGACTGTATATTCAGAACTTGAGTTCAAGTGGTTGTCGTTTTTTTAGACCTTTTTTAAACTGAAGCAAGAAATTCAGAGACGAACCTTACAGTAATTAATTTTTTTCTATATCATATTAAGTTACTAATGCCAATTACTATTCAATGGTGGTAATTGAATTACCCCTTGATTGGTGCAGTTGAAGATTGTGAGACTGCAATGTGCAAGCGTCTTGAATATAATTACCAACGTTTGAGGAAAAAACTTCCCTTAGTTCTTTATCAATTAAATTACAATATGACATCAAGATGAGAAGAACATGATGGTAAGTTCTCTTTGACTTGATTATTGATGTCAGAAGTTCATACATGTTTGTCTTCATTTTAACTTCATTAAAAGCACTGTGTTAAAGCAGAATTGATTCTCAAAGATGATGATTACATCGTTGTCATATTTATGCACAGTGGCGAACAAAGGGAAGACCAAAGTGCAAAGGAAGTAATCACAAAATAACTGAGAGCCGTTCGATTGTGTAATAAAATAAGTAAGGTTTACCCACTGAAAGTTAGGAATCTTCAAAGTTCGTCAAGTTCGCATTCTGATGCAAAATATCACCACCTCAGGTTTTCTGAAAAAAAAAATCAGTCATTGATCAAAGAATTAAATGAACCCAATCAAACATTTTTGTTTTCTCTGAATTATCTGCACATTTCATTGAAACCCTTTAGCTTATAGCTGATTGCTGATTGTAATGGTTATCATTAGACTTTAAGTTTATTTCGATGCTGGTAAAGGTTTTTTTGACTGGATTTACTGACCGCTCTCCAAATTTGAATTAATCTTAGGGATAACTTCAACCAAGCTGTGACATGAAGAATAGATCATTTTGAAACTTTGGCACGTTTCAATGCGCCTCGTTTGGAAGTAATCGAATGTATCTTTTCGAGTTGTGTCGTACTTTGTCGAGTCAGAGGGTCAGTTAAAATACAAACAACGAGTAAAGATACCCGGTAATACTACACACCAAAACGTCTAATAAGTTATCCAACCGCTTTATTTTATGCCCATTTCTTATAATACGTGAAAAGCGAAGCAGATGTAGAAATGTAGCACGCGCAAGCACTGTGACCTATCCTTTTCATTGAAATTTTCGAAACAGACGTTGTCAGAGAAAGTTTGAGGAAAGTTTGTCAGGTAACTTTTTTCCTGACGGATCGCCTCGAGAAAATGCTTTGTTCTTGATCAAAATTCTTTACTTTTCTTCTTCTTCGTTCAATTTCTGCTCGACAACAGCCCAGCCATAGGAGACTGTTGAGTCTGTTTTGGGCCGAAGCATTTGGTTCTGTGTCTCAGGTAAATAGGTATTCAGCGTAAAGAGGAAATAATGGACTTTACCTTCCTCTAACCCCTTTCGAAACACTTTTCCATTGAGGTGGTCACCGTCTACAACTTGTGTTATGAGTTGCGATGTGCTTTGCTGGATCCAGTCAACAGGTTCGTTTGGTCTCTACACTGAAAATTGCACTTCGGGCTGGCTACTTAGACTTCTTATCTTGCAAGAAACTGACACACGTTTGAACTGTTCTCTAAAAAAATGCTCGCGAATCGATCTTAGAAAGGAACGCCGCGACAGGATTTTCCCGCTCTTTCCATTTTCCATATAAGGAATATGCGCGCCTCAGGCTATTTTGGACGTGCTGATTGATGCTGCCTGTAGTGGCTTTTTATCAACGGAAATTTTGAGTCAAAGCTTCTAAAATGTTCTGCTTTCGTGGAAAGAAAATTTGTTTTCATCAGTACTTTTATAATGTTGTTAAGTATTTATTTAATTTAGTTGGTCAGTTCATTATATGATTTAATCTTTCGTTCAGTTATATTTAGAATGTAGTTACTGTACGAATTCGATTTCCGAAGTTGTCTAGGTTTGAGCTGTGGTGATGAGTTTCCGAGTTGTGACAGTCTTGTCTAACTTCTAAGTGGATGCACTTAGTTTGTCTGCCGTTTACCTTGCTTCGGACCTCGGCACACGAAAGTTCACGTCAGTTTTGGCTGACGTAGTCAGGGGTTGATCAGTTGATCGGAAGCATTATGATTAATTATTTTTTGTTCATTTCGAAAGTCTCGTGAAATTGTTTGGTTTAGTGTACTAAGAACAAATGTTTAATCTCCCAAGGTCAGCTACCTGGCATCCCCATCCATATCTGTCAGTAGTGAGTGTATAGGCATGTTCTTTAGAAGAAAGAAGAGTAGACTAGAAGAATGTAGACAGTGAGGACAAGTGTAGCGTTAGAATTGCGTAGTTAAAGTGAGTGCACAATTCAGTGAGATGTAATATGGGGTTTTTTTCTTTCTTTTTCAGCGGTGATAATCAATATCCACGTTAATTTTTATCAAACTTCGAGTCATCTTATTTGTTTGTTTCCTTGTTATCATGATTGTCACAATCGCTATTTTGCTTTTGTTCTCTGAATAACCGACAGAATTACCTTTCCATTGACAAGATAAAAATAACCGGGCAAGTTGAGACATGCTTGATTACTTAGTTGTTAGCTATCCTGGAACTAGTTTTGTGATTGGTCAATACGGTAAAATAAATTGGCGGCATTTTAAGAAAGGATATTAACAGCATGTGACTCGTTCGCGTTCTTCCTGTGAAAGGTGCTGAGTTTAATCAGCAATCTAACCCTAAGCAATTACTGGTTTCAATCTGGTTCATGTTCAGTCTCTGAGCATTGATTAAGCTTAATCCTCATTGCACTAGCTGTCGGGCGTGTTTTTTTGGGTTTCTTTCGCACACGACGCGAGGAACTTAACAAGAAACCTTCGAAGAATGGCGGGCGAGTTCTGGATCCAACACTGGGAAATACAACAGCTTTCGAGGCTGGAAATGACGCAGAGATTCTGGGGAATACAGCCGTGAGTAATTTCACTTTCTGTGTTCAAGGGTTTGCCCTGGTTCCCTTTTCTTTGCTCTTTCTTGATTGTTTTGACTGCTGTTGTCTACATGCTGTAATATCCAAAACCAGTGAACAGTAAATTACCGAATTGTCGTGCAGGCCTGCTTTCAAATACATATGAAAGTAATGGGAACATGTCAATTCGCACATTCGTTTTAATAGAATCTTGTTTCACTTTTGTACTTTCCACAATTTCCCCTTTAGAGAACGTTGTGGTTTAAAATTGTTACTAGCATGAATCGAAAGATACATTGTAGAATATTTTCCTAGGTGAAATGGCAAATGGTATTTGTTATGGGTTGGGAAGGTGGGGGGGGGGGAAGGTGTTGGAGGAATGGCAGTTTTCTATTGACATTTCAGGAGGACTTTCCCGGTCAATAACAAGTACATGACACTGTTCCACTGAAGGATAAAACTTTCTGAACCAAAAAGTGATCCTGGTTTTCCTCTAAAAGATCATAGGGGAAGATCAACAGAACTCCTTTCAATGTTGAGGAACAAGGTGGCAAAATTGTAATTTAGTTCCCTTGTGGAAAATAATAAATCTCTTGAAAGTCATATTTAACCAGAACAGATTCTCTTAATTGTCATATAAAACAAATAAAATTGCAATCAATTGAAATTAAAATTTTCTGCGCAGAATAATCTATCATAGTCTCAAACAAAAAATACATATACTAGTTTCATCTACAAAGTGCTATCTACTCCAAACTAAGGGTTTACATAGAAAAATGTATTGTCGGTGGAGTAGTTTTAATTCACAAGAAAACAAAATTCTTTTCCCAGTAAGAAAAAAAATAGCTCAGGTTATTGAAATTTAGTTGAAGAAATCTGGGTGGCTGGCTGAAAATTATCTGATGTCTGATGCCCTAGGATGATGGACACCTTATCAGTGTGAATTAGATGTTGCACAAGCTAAGAGATCATTGTGTGTTAAGTGCAGTATACCAAATAAAACAAAACTTATTTTCTTAGGTCCTGTTAAGGAAACACTTTTTAGTCTTGCATCCAATTCAACATCTAATTTTGTAGTGCAACTGTAAAACAGAAACCAATGCATGGCAGTACAAGTATTTGAAATGATACAATATTTATTAAAGTTTTAAAACAATAGCCTCTGGTTGGTAATTAAAGAAACATTAGAAAATAAAAGAAGTAGATAGTGTTCTATGAGCAAAGCTCAAAGATGATATTTTTTAATAGATTATTTACGGCAATATTTTCCAGGACCTTGTTTATTTTCCAGGAGTGGGGTGGTCTCTCTTTGGGTGTGTCAAATGTACTTGATCTCTGGTTTTCATGGATAATTGATAAAGTGTTGTACAGGTGGGAAAAAAAAAGAGAAAAGAAAGAGGTTTAGAACTTGCTTTACTAGTCAGACACCAAATTGGAACTTTATCCTTCCTGACCAACCATCTGTGAAAGCAACATCTTATAACTTATACTGGAGCCTTTGGAAATGTGTACAGCTAGGGAGGAGGATTACTGTAATAATCAGATGTATAAAGTTAATGAGGTTAAAATTTGTTTTTGGTAGAAAGGACTTCAAACATTACTCCCAGCTAAGTTGCACCCATTCAGCCTTTAAGAAGAGACTTTGAAGAATATCCGAAAAGTAATGTGAAGCTGCTGTTGTGATGGACCGTCCATCACACGTAGTGATTGGCATTTTGAAATTCACATTTCCATAGCTGTTGGCTGTCATGCAGCTTTGCTGCTGTTGTCCTATGCTTTGGGATTTCCATTCCATTATCCTTGTGGATGTTGTAAGGGAGAAGTCTTGCACAGGTTGCTGCTTTCCCCTAGGTGCAGAAATGGGGATTTTGATTGATAAACTTACTTTGTTCCAGAGCAAGTGGAGTCTGGTGTTGTGGGGTGTGCTCTGAAATGGCAGAGGCTTGAATTTTAGCCAGTAGGATCAGTGTTCTCCTTTTCAGGCAGTAACCAGTAACATTTACCGCCTGTAGTACCTCTTATTACCATTTAAAATTGCTTGAAATTCTTGAAAATTCAACAGGTAAAAGGATCACTTTACCAGTTTGAAAATTCATTTTACCTGTCATGCTTAAAATAAGGGAGAACACTGGTAGGATATTCTTGTCATGCTCTTTTTTGTGTGAATAGGTTTATATAAGAGAATTGTTATGGGGCATTTCAGCCAAACTTAGGTAAACTTGAGATGAATAAAGGGTTCATTAGCTAACCAGCAGACCACAATTCGGTGTTTGGGTACCCAATTAAAAAAGAAAGAAAATTTTTATTTCGGTAGTTATCTCTACATCATAAATGAAAGTATAGACTAATTCCTGAGCTTTAATACAATTTTTATTTCTCTCCCACAACAATGATTACACATGTCAATCGATGTCTCACTTTACCAACTCATTTATTATACAACAAGTTTGACCACTAAATAACTTTTTAAATAAATACCATTTAGTTTTACAATATATATCCCTTTTAACTTCACTTCTAATTAATGGGACTGTATCCATTCTAATTGAACCTTGTGAATGTGTTACACTTCCTTGAATTAATAAATAAAATAGTGAAAATATGTTTCCATTGACTTCTACAGGTATGAAAATATCATAGTGGTGTCCCTATATCAAAAATTTAAGGCAATTAAGTATTTCCGATATCCATCATTTCAGGATTTTAAAAGCCCCTTTCCAGTTGCTTGGAATGAGAGTTTTCCATGCTGGGAAAGCAACTTTTCTCACACAACCTTACTTGGCAAACAGTACCTTAGAAAAAGAGCTGTCCCTGACAGGCACAAAAATCAAACATTTCTGATCAGTTAGAGCACTAACTGGGCTCTATTACAAAGAATTTACTTTAATTATCTTTCTAGGACATGAACTTTCAATTCTTTGACCAACGTCATCTGTATAGCATACAGTAAACATTTTATCTCAGAATATTAAAACTATTTTCCAGCTGGGTTTATCTACTGTAATAAACTTGATTCTCTGACAGACCACCAACATATTGAAAAATATAGCAAATATTCCAGCAAATTTGACTAGAAAAGTTGTCAAATATTGAAGTATGAAAATAGCCTTTCATGTACAAAGATAGAACACATTTAGCTACTTTAAGTTTGAAAATTCCACATTGAAGACTGTTCAAACCTAACATTTAATTATCCGCAATTTAACATATTGGACAAATGTGGTTTGAAACAAGATAAAAATAAACTTTTGAACCTCGTGTGCTTCCCCAATGGTTTATGAAACCTATTTACCTGCTTTATTATTTAATGAATGTTCTTGAACCTTAAAAAATGTTATATGTCTCAATAAGGACAATTGTCTGATACAGAACCTTGGAATCCTGAGTATCTGCTTGAAATCACATACATTGTTCAAATGGGTACTCTGGAGACCAAAAGTCTGTGATTTAAATAAAGTTTAACTTGGACCACAATCACTGTAAGTAGTTTGTGTAAGTTGAGTAAATATTTTCCTTGTTGCAATTTTGTACAATTTGCAACATTTAAATAAAATATTTTGTCACATTGAAAATAGTTTAGATTGTGATTTTGCTAAACCAGTTGCTAAACTTCATTTAAAATTATACACCAGTTAAAGTATCTTTCAAGAGAATTCCCTGTACATTCTTATAAAAATTGAAAAAAATCAATTTTTAGTTTTGTCAGAGTATAGAATACTTTTAGCCATGGTCAACCACAACCATTATCAGGATCCTTTTTTAAATATTTAACTCAGTTGGTCAAGGAAAGTTAATATTTGTCAGGGAATTTCAAAATCCTATGACTGTAGCAACCCATGAATATGCTGCATTAGCTTGAAAAATGAAAAAAAACTTGTGATTAAGAGGCAAACAAAGTCTGAGTCTTTCAACTATTAAGGAAGAATCTACCAACTCTTGTCTGTATAGTTACTATCTGTTGTTATATGATCAAGCTCCTGTACCTATTCAGGCTGAGGCTTTTTGACAATCACTCTTCTGTGAGTTTTGCAAAACTCGTTGATTCTCTTGCATGCCAACTGAGTCAATTCCTCCGGTACAGTCAGAACAATGCGGAAGTAGTTTGGATACTGAAAGCACTGAAATGAAGAATCAGTTGTTAAATAAGTTGATTCATTAAGCACAGAATAATGCTGTGTGGGTTAATTGCTGTTTAAATGGTAATGTGGTTATAAGGTAAATCACTGCTATTTAAACTTAGCCAAATAATTTAGACAATTACCAGTAATGTCAAGCTACAATTGCATGGAATTTGAGATAAACTGGTAATTTAGAATGGCTTGAACTTTGTTGAAATTGACTTTGTCTTTGCACTCCAATTAAATGGGATCCAATTCTTTTTTTTTTTAATTTAGATGGCATTTACTTGATTTCCTTCCTTCTAATACTCATAGTGGCCACATATGCTGCTCACAGTTAATACTAAAAAGGAAAAACACCTATGTGACAATTATCTACCTTTCCTGGTAGACAAAACACTGATTGTTCTGAGATCAGTTTTTCAGTGAAGTCTAAGTCATCCACAATGCCATCTAACTTGGATATGTCAATTCCGACCTTAAAGAAAAAAAGAGATCTTTTAACTTCACATACGCATGTAGAATGTGTATTAAAAAGACAAGTCAAAAGTAGGTTTGTATTACACTAGTGTGTACCAGTCTGGGCTTTTCATCAAATCCTTGCTTAGAAAAAAATTTATGCTTCTGGCACAATGAATAGGCCAGTTTTACCTGTTCCTGTACTGCACTCATTTTGTTTATTTATAAAGTAAACGTGACTTGTTACAAGATTGTGGAATTCACTTTGTGATAACAATGATTCTGAAATAGCAAACCTCTCTATATGAATGCAAATTATTCAATTTCCAGCCACTGAAGTCTTTAGGTTCACGACCTAGTACTGGTTAACTCATTGTAACATTTATTTGAAAGACATGTTGCACAGTGGGCTCACAGAAAAATATAAAAATGTTGTATCTCAGGGTCCAATTAAAGAGTACTTGTTGTTTGATCTCAAGGTACATTGTGGCAGTGTATATCAGAAAAAAAATTAACAAATATCAAGGCTTTTTAATGTTTTGCAGTTCGACTGTTAGATTTTAGGGCATATGTGATTTTTCTGATGCTTAATTTCCACTTCCCTGGAAAGTACTAACCATCATATACATTGCTCCACATGGCATTTTGGGTTCCAGTTCTGGAATTCTTAGCAGTGCCTCATAAAGTATTTCAGCGTTTTTCTGTCAAAAGAAAGACAAAGTAAACATTGCTTCTTTCAGTTACTTTGTAATACATATAGTCTCTAGTCTATTGGTTGTATTGAACTAAAAGAAGAGTAATGAGAGATCAGCCACCAATCAAGGTAAACAAAATAAAAGAGCCAATGAGAACTTAAAGTATAACCAAGCAAAACACCTTGAGCCAGGAAAAATTAGTGTGCACAGAGCTAGTCTCCATAAGTCTTACTGGTAGTTTTGCATTTTGCAAGAGGAATGAATTATGAAACCAAACATAATTTCTATTAAAAATGGCCCTTCAAAGAGTTACTAATGAGGATCATTAGGCTACAACATTTCTCCTCACCTGAATTGTCCTCATTGTGTTGTCAAAAAAGCTTTGTGGTGTATTGGTCAGTATTTCTGGAAGAGCTCCTTGAATGAGAGTGTTTGGGCCTAAGATTTGCTGGGAAAGTGCTATAAGTCCTGTTCTGACCTGTTTGTTACACAAATATTATATTAATAAATAGATAATTATCTTTTGTAGGGCAACAGAGCAACAAGTAAGATATACACATGTAAAAAAAATGAGGTTTCAAGACACTGTGTTCTTTAACACCATCCAGATCAATATGAATAATTCACATTTTTAGTGTCTAAAGGCTATTTATTTACACTGCATGTAGATGATGATGGGTTATGGTAGCTTACCTCACTTTCAAATGCTTCATTTTTGTCATAGATTATGACCCATCCCAATCTCCAGCCAGGCACAAGAAACCTAGCAGTAAGCATGGCCAGATAAACATAATGTGGAATTACCATTATTGTATTCAAATTGGGAAGGAAAGCTTATGAGGTGTCTCAACCAAAAATTAATAATAATAAACTAGGATAGAAGAAAGAACATTTTTAGAAACAAGTGAAAAAAAGGCTGAAAAAAAATCAACAAAGAATTCATCACATTTCCATTTGCATTAGTTGAAATTACAGAGAAGTGTACATGTCTGAGGCAAATCCATATTTCCTTACCTTTTTGAAATTGCACCACAAGTCAAAATGGGAACATTGTCTGATAACTGTGCAAGTGGGTAAAACTTGTATCCAGGAAAAACCTGGAGATAACAGGGATAGAAATGAAACATTTGAATTAAGTGAAGAATGACATGTCAACTGACTTGCAATCAGTGACTAAATTTTTATTTTGTTCTTCTACTACCAAGGATTAATTATCATTACTGCCAGTTAATTAATTCCAAAATGAACATGCACTAAGTGGGAAAAATTACACATGATTCCTGGTTTCTTTTCCTCTTTTGTTTTTCTTTGATTTGTTTTTGTTTTTTGGTTTATTTTTTTTCTTTTAGTGTTTGTAGAGCACTTACAGCATATTCGTACACTTCATCTGCAATAATAGGAAGCATGTATCTTTCAGCAACTGAAAAGTATAATTACAATGATGTTTAGTGAAAAAACTTTGATTGATAAATGTCATCAAGTTCTAAAATTTGATTCTGTGTCATGTACTACATTACTTTCTTTGAGAATTTATTTTTGGTCAAATGAATTGAGATGACATATATTTACCTTCGAGAATAGCTTCCAGATGTTCTTTTGAATAAACTGAACCACAAGGATTGGATGGATTGTTAACAAGTATTGCTCTGGTTCTGTCATCAATCAGTGACTCAAGGTGATCAAGGTCAATCTCCCAGGATCTCTCGGGCTAAACCAGACAAGTAATTTGCAAACATCTTAAGTTCATTTTCAACTGTATACAAGTATTATTTGTTAATAGATATCAGTTGGAAAATAAAAGATATTTTGACTTTTCCTTATTGTTTGTACTCCTGAAGAATTATAGGTAATAACTTGTGTAAGCAATAGCAGGAAATGACCCTGGATTGCACTGGTTTAAAACACACTTAAGTTTTGCATAACTCCAATGATAACCATACCAAAAGATTGTAATGTCTGACTTCATGGCCTCGGGATATGCTCAGTGTCTGATAAATAGAAAAGCCTGGTTTGGGCAGAAGAACATTATCTCCAGGGTTTAGTAGAACATCTAAAGCCAATTCCAAAGCCCCAGAGCAACCACATGCTAGAACAACATCCTAAAAAACACAAAATTATAATAATAATTACTGAATACAAAATATTAAAAGGTTGTCATTATCTTTTTACAAATGGGACAAGATATCAAAAGCTCCCAAAACCTACTATTAAAGATGTCAGAGAACTGAGCATTCTCCTCCAAAATTAACACTCTTCTCAAATGTGTTTTAACTGGTTGATTAAGGCCATTTTACCTTGTAATTTATTGGAGAGAAAGGATAGGAATGCTCTGCAGCAATTGCCTCTCGAGCCTTGACATAACCTGCAATATCAAGGTCATTTATGCATGTTGGACATGAGTTATCATAGTTAAGAATTACTGTAAGTTCTGTACTAAGCAGAGCTACTACTGTAAAACTACTGTATATGAAATATATTTTACAAGATAACTTTATCTGGGAGGGCTTTTAATCAACACCTTTCTGTTTTTCATCAGAATGTGATCTAGACATATTGGGTGTCATTTGTGTTTTAATGCTTTTTTTTAATCATTTTTTTAACTGTAAAGTAGAGCTTTTTAGCAAAGTGTTTGACGTAGATGCTTTATCTAAAAAAGTAATGGAAAAAAGAAACTAGAAAATCCCACACACCCTATTTTAGTTCAACATGTGCATATCACGTTCTGATAAAAACAAAAGATGTAGATAAAAAAAAGCATCATAAAATGAACTTATCTTATTAAAAGTCTTGGCATGAAAGAATAAGCTCCCATTCTGTATACTAATTCAGTTTGAATGAAAATCCTAATTTTCATCCTGCGATACCTCTAGAAACAAAGTTATCTATTCTAATAACCTGTTGAAGGAGCATATCCATTATGTTTTGATTGCTTTAGGCACTTCACAACAGCCTCCAACATCTCTTGACAAGGCTCTAAATTCCCAAACACTGATGGATCCCCTAGACAAAAAAAATTTAGGTAATTGAATATAAGACCAAGCCAGGTTAAAATAGAACCAATCTTTGCCATTTTCTTTCCTAACAGGAAATTAATATTATTAATATAATAATATTAGTTACCCTCCTACACCCATCATGTGTATGTTGTAATATTTCTTTGTTGTGGAGATTTTCTCATTCCACCTTAGCTTGGTCTGCAAAGCCTGTGTCAGTTCCCTTCTAACACTTTTCTTCATCTCAGAGACAGAAGAAATCTATCATTGTAACTTACCTATTGATAGAGCAATCATTTTCTTTGTGGGATTTGGTGTTACTTTCATTCTGTCTACGATGGATCTAATAGGATTAAATGTTGTTTTTGCTGTAACTGAGGCAGGGATATGCCATCGTCTTCTCTTCGCAGTAGACATTCCTTGGAGGAGTAACAAACAAATTATACATATACCTTAAATCATTACATAACCATCTCCTTACTCCTGACCTTCATTCTCTCTAATAGCAACACAATTTAATCTTTTCCTGGCAGAAAAAGGGTAGGTAAGAACTACAGATTATGCCAGTGGATCTTAGCTGGCTAAACAGGCAATGCGATCTTATATGTTTTCTGTGTCAAATAAATATCACTTTTTCTCTAAGTTACTTTTTCTTGGTACTAACACAAACATACATAACAATGTGTCTGCAGTGAAACAAACAAAGCTCTCATTCTGAGTTATTCATAATAATACTGAATAATCCCAAAGGATTATTATATGATTGATCTTTTCCATAGTTATTATGTAAAGTTTCCGTTGTTTTGGTGTGGGAAATTTCCAATGGAATGTATAGTATTTGATCTTTAGTAAGACATTATGCGAGCCGTATTATGCGTATTAGTTTATTTTGCACCGCATGACGCCATCAAAGCTCGTATATAAGGTTACATTTTGTCACCTAAGTTTTTACGAATTAAACCAGACAGCTCTTTTGTTAAAACTATCTGTAGAGTCCGATCTCACCAAAATACGATTCAATTTAGGTGAAAACAAATCAACAAACTTCGGCAAGATCAGTTTTCGTCGAGATTGGATGATAAACCATGAATAAGGTCATTGTTGTACACGTGTTTATGTGGTACGAACGCTATGAAGTGATAACGTTTTATGAAGAAGAAATGTTTAATCAACGAGCCTTGAGTCTCAAAATTCTTCTAAGGATTAAAGTTTTCTAACGATTACAGTTTTCTCCCACCTATATCTTACTGTACATAGTAACATTTTTTGCGCAATTTTCGAAAACTTTCATTTTTCTCTGCAATTCATTGAAAATAAGTGAAGAACACGTAGCACATATCAACGCATAACTTTAACTACACAGCTGTTTATGCGTATGGTTACAACTTCTGTGTTTGATGAGGTTCAGGCAGAATACTATATTTTTTGTCTGCTTCTTTTAGCTTATGTGTGTGTGTGTCTTTTACTGTCAAGAAAAGATTTTTTGTCGATATTGGCTAACGCGTCAATACGGCTCGCAGGTTCCGACCAAAAGTCAGCCAACCGCTACCGCAGTCGGCCGTCGTCACTATACGCTCATTTTCTTTAAAGATCAAACTAAAATTGTAATCAGTCCCAAAAAAATAGCTTACAAGAACAAAGTCAAAACGTTTAAACTACGTTCGACAGACAGAGAAAAATAAAAAGACGCACCTTGCACTATGAGCTAAGCATGAAGTCAACATGAAACACAAGCATTCGCTTCGAACATCATCCCGCGACCGTCGAGACTCAAAAGCACTAAAACTCAATCCATTTGATATCTCACATACCATGTGAATGAATGGAAATAATCATACTCGTTCTAGTAAATATAATTCTGTTATCGTTTGGTAGGTGTGAGAAAAATGATAAGCTTTATCGGCAAAACCTCAGAGAAATCAGATAACGCTCGTAAATTCTTTTATGACCAACTAAGGTGCTTGTGAACAAAAAAACAGAGGACATTGTGTGAAGAGTCTGTAAAGAAGACAACTGAGAGAAATTTGTGGTGTACAATGACGTAAGTTCACGAACAATAACTTCGAAATCAGGTGCAAATGCGGCCTTCGTAGAGTTTCCTTCACAATTCGGCGCGACGACGTCGTTTTCGAATCTTCCAGTAAACATCATAGAAACTGGTACTACACCCACAAAATCGACATTTCATGTGTTTCTTATTGAAATACTTACCTTTTTGTCGTGTGCTGAGTGTTTTTTATGCCGATCTTTTACGGAAAAAGAGTTAAATGAAAGAGTGATTGTAGCCTCCAGCACAATTTCTTCGCTTGGACATGTAAATTTAATATCGTTGCATAACCATATTTGACGTGATTGGTCAGTCATACTGTCACACCCCCAGCACACCCCTCGCCCCCACACCGCCTTTTCACTGCCATGATCAGTTAACCAAATCAAAGCACTTCTATTCACTTCGATTCTATTGGGCTTCCGACCCACTTCTGAATATTTTAATGCGAATGTTTTGATCTTTTGCTTGCTACTCAGTGATGTCTTTTAGACTAATCAGTTCAAATCTTTGCCATATTTTTCATATTTCGAAAGTGTGGAAAAAAATATAAACGACTGAACGAAATAAAAAAACAAAACATTTGATTTTGAAAGATACGTTTCGCCTGTTTTTCTGTCATCTTCAGATTATTCGGCTAAATGTCACATTTTGCCATATTTTTGATATTTCGAAATTGTGGACAAAAATAAAAACACGACTCAACGAAAAAAAACACAATATATTTGATTTTGGAGATACGTGACGACTGTTTTCCTGTCATCTGCAGTATAAGCAAAATTCAAAGTCGTATTCTTATGTTAAACGGAAAGATGATATTGGCTAGACCACAAACGGAAACGTTAAAGTGGATGAACACAATGGAGTTTTGAATTTTAAAATCTCGACAAATTCTTCAGTCGTGGGCTCACTAAACTATATTCTGAGTATCCTGAGTACTGATCATCATGCAGCACACCGAGGTACGAATCTTTCATCATCTACGTTTGAGAGTATAAACGGAGGTCTTCATGGTTCTGGAGGTACCAGATTATCTTCAGATTAAACGTCTGCTCGGTAGTGCTCCTCCCTGCTCTGAAACCTGCTTGTTGATCAGCGATGATGGTCTCTGCGACTGGTTTCAGTCTGTTTATAACCATCTTTAGCATCGCTTTGTTTGGGTGAATGATCAAGCTGATGGCGCGGTAGTTTTTGCACAACTGAAGATTTTCTTTCGTTGGCAGCGTGATGATCATCGACTGGGTCCAAGATGTTGGCCATATTCCGGTACGCCAGATGTTGTTGCAGATTGCGGTTAGGGTGGTGATCATTGTCTCGCCTTCTGCTTGCACCATTTCAGCAGGTATGTTGTCGATGCCTGCTGATTTTTCTTGTTTCAGCGCCTTGACTGCCACCTCAACTTCCTCGCGTTGGATGGATTGCGGGTCCTCACCTGGTGTTGCTTGCTGGCAATTCAGTACTGCTAGATCTCCGTCAAGCTGATGGTTGTAGAGCTCGGAGCAGTATTCAGTCCACCCTTCTAGCATTTCCTTTTCTTCAGTGAGGCATTTCCCTGCTTTGTCCTGAATGCTTGTTGGTCGTCCCTGTTTTCCTATGGTGAGGTCTTAGACCATTTGGTATGCCTTCTTTGTGTTGTTCTACAGAAGGTTTCTTCTATTTTGGTGCATTGGTGTTCTATCCAATCTCCTTTTTCCTTCTTCGACTCTCTTCTGACTCTGTTCTTTGCTTCTCTGTACCTCTTGGCTCCCTCTGGGTCACCTTTCCCTTTCTTCAATTCTCGCCTTTTGTCACCTGAGGTTCAAGATCTCTGTTGCGACCCTTGTTTTTTGGGGGGCGCTAGTGTTTTCTAGATAACGTTTGGTGACATTCTATGACAAGCTGTTTAAGTTACTGACTTGCAAACTCTACCAATTTTTCTACTAGATACCTTGGGCTAAACTATCTGCATGATTTTGAGGAACTGGCCACTGACTTGCAACTGACGTGCACAGCGAAGATCATCTTTCAGGCCAACCTCGTTCAGTTCCCAGGGTCCTTTCTCTTCCTCCATCGAGGAAGTCCTATTTCTCGAATGTAAGCGACCGTTCATTCCCATACAAATCCTAATATTTCGCTTACTGATAGCCTTAAACATTTTGACACCCGCACAGACTCACCAAAACTCACCATTTAATCATGTTATAAGGAACATAATTACAGGAAAAGTATTCCTGATACATCACTCCCCTTACGACTGCTCCCTAATTTAATGTGAATTTGTCTACGTTTGTCAAGCCCTAAGTTACCTGGTGAGACCAAATTGCCATTTTCTTCTTACAGTGATATAAATCGTCCCCTCCAGAGCGAGATGCGAGATGCAACAAGGGGTGAGACGGGCACAAGTGGAGGAGCACGAAAAAAAACGGCAGTCCCTTTTTCGGCGTTGTATCCCTCATACGTAAATCGCCCTTTGCGCCCTCCTCACACCCGCGAATAAGTGACACTTCACTGTTCACGCTTTCTTCCTCTCGCTCTTAAATTGTGAAAAAGTGCTAGCAAAAACACAACGCGTTTAAAATAGCGCGCTCTCCCAACACTTGTCTCTGCTCGGCTAAAATACGCATTTTTGTTAAAAAGATTACTACGCCTATCTCGCAAGCTATGTCTAAGGGGAGGGGTTGATCCTATGTTTCCAGATACTGCATGGGTGTTTCTAGTGACTGATGTATACAGATTATGTGTGGAAGATCAGACAAATCTTAGTAGAGTTGGGGGGGTAAGTTTCTAAAGAAACTGTGGTGCTGCGTCGGTGGGAGAGTATAGCAGGTAATTTAGTGTTACAGCAGCTATCGCGCTGACGAAGGGCTAACGCTCGAAACGTCAGCTTTTTTACCCTTTACGGTGGCTAATTTACGTTTTCAACCCAGTTGTTAACACTAAATTACTTAGTAGAGTTGGGTTTGTTGTACCCTGTAAAAGAATTCGGGCACTCCAAAAGGATTATATGAACCATAATTGTCCTGTAGAAAACAATCTACAGTTTGGTCTTCTCAGGTCAACTGCAATTGCATAATTATTCCAATTTAAATACTTTGAAATTCAGCTTTTAACAATAAATCTTAGCATACTGATCTCAGGAATTTACAGTAGAGTTTGCAGGGTAGTTTCCACAGGGGAAAACAAAGGTGGCTATTGCTTACATATTTAAATAGAAAGTCTTAGTGTTCCCTCCCCCCCTAATATTTTGACCAGCACTTCTGGAATGCATTAGGCTGGACATCTGAAACAAAGGATCTAGGAATAGGATTACCAGCTTAGCAAATACTGCAATACAGCAAAAACTGAACAACTAAATGTGTATTTATTATTTAGCTACAGTCCAACAAGGACAATTCTTTCCAAACCTACCTGAAACACAATAAACTAATTCATTAAGGTCTTATTAAAAGAAAAGATACTACTACAAAACTCAAAAGAAATAGAGAAAGTTTGCAGTGGAAAGATAACATTTTTTAAATCCAGTTTCTCTTCACAGAGAAAGATGCACCTCCCACAATAAGCATGTTCCAATAAACTTTCTAAATTAGGGTTTTTCTTTGTATTATTTTAGAATGATCACAATTTCTTGTGTTTCTGGTAATACTGTTCAAAATGTTTGGTCAATGGACTTTTCCTATGAATGGAAATACTTGTAAGCAGCAATGGCAACCACAACAGCTACAGCTCCTGCAGGCAAAAGAATGTTGTTTATCCTGCAAAAAGACAAAAAGAAAACAGATCAATTTGCTGATGCTATCTGAGAACTACAGCAGACATAATCAGTAGCATGCCTATGTACGTATTGTTAAGGCATCTTTTTCTTGCAGCAAGTTAGTGCTTTGAAAAATTCAAGTTACATTTTGTCAAAGATTTCAATTCACAATGCCAGCAAGGTTCCCCACCTAGCTAGTTGCCACTTTGTTAAATTTCTGTTCACTTGTTACTGAATGCAGCTGTAATTTCAATTGACAAAGAAATATATTAGCATTCCTTTTTATTGAGCCATTAAAGAATCCTGATATATCTTCCTTTATTACAAGAACACCTAAAATAAAGTGATCAGTCTCTGGTAAATGATAATTCCAAAATTATACGAATTACAATCAAAAATTATTTTTTATTTTTTTAATTTTATCCCTTCTTTTACAATGCAAAATTTTTTGTGTAGTATGATAAAGCAATTTGAAGACCATGAATTCCAGATATTCTATCGGTATTATTATCAATTATTAATATCATTATCATTATTACCATTTTCAAATATGGTATATACTGTGCATGTCCTGAAAACTTACCAATTAGGTTTGCCTTCATCATGTTGAACAGTTTTCTTCTCTTGAGACTTATAGAGAGAGATAAAAGAATAATTTTGAAAATACTGCACCAGCCATAATTAAACAACATTGATAAAGACTGAACAATGGGTTCATGTGACCAAATAAGAGTGAAGAGCATAATTTCTCTTTTTTTGGTTGGTCATAACCCTTGAAAATTGAAATTTCAATTGAACAGGACTTCCTCAAAATCACAGAATTGATTCCTTGGAAGAATGAAGGGAAAATTGTATCCTGCTATTTTTTGTTTGATATGAATTGAAGAAGAACATGACATTGATGGTAATTGTGTAGCAGTAGTACTGTGCATACCTTCTCTGGAATCCTATCCTCCTGAAATACAACAAACAAATATTCATATAAATAGGTTGCTGATGGATACATTCTCATACATATACTTTACAGTTTGTTTTAAATGTCTTCTCAGCAACAAATATATAAAGCGATATAATCACATCTTTGAGTAATTCAGTCTTTTTTTTTATTCAAGAAAAGGAGGAAAGTAATTTTCTGATTTTGCACCTGAAAATCATAAGTGGGTGCCAGAAATGAATAAGGACACTTGGAGTAGTCCTACATAATTATCATGGTTACAGTTAAGAGGCTCAAAGTAATTAAAAGATTGCATGACTTCCAAACAAATGTCACCAAAGTGGCAATTACCATCAAATTGTTTCTATTTGCCTCTGCAACCAAAATGGTCAGAGCCTAGAGCACTGTTTTCCATTACTATTCCATCACCAACACTTGAATTCCTGATGTTTGATTTTTCTACAGTTGGAAAGTGTAATAAAAGTAAACTTACTCCATTTTTGATATTTTGGCCATATACACAAAAATCACCTATCAAAAAATTCACCTCAGCAAGCTCTCCAACAAGATACTGCTCCATAAGTTCCCTAGCATCAGAAGAATGTCCTACATCTTCAAAGTTTTCTGTAGCATCTCCACCTTTTTATTGCAGAACCACAAATCATTAATTCAGCATTCAAGTTATGAGTACAGTTAGGCCTAACCTGCATTCACTCTTTGTGTTTTAAGAAAGATGCCATAATGTCAAACATTATTTGATTAATAGTATTGCTAATAAATAAAATTAGAGAGAGGATTAGTTTTGAGCTTGGCAAAGGAATACAGAAAGATGTTTTTCATCTTATCATGAGCATGGGACAAAGAAAAATTTCTGAGTCCCCATGAGGAATCAAACCTCTGACATTCAGGTTCCATGCTCCAATTGCTCTACCACTGAGCCACAGAGACTCTAAGGAAACGCTATCAACATTGCTGATTTTAGCAGTATGCAGGATGCTTGTCATATGAATTTCGTAACAGCCCTTGCTCACTGCAGAGTTGCTGTGGCTCAGTGGTAGAGCATCAGAGCATGGAATCCAAAGGTCTGGGGTTCAGTTCATCATGGGGACTCAGAATTACAAAAACATCTTTCTCCAATATCGCTAATATCAATAAAACAAATGATAATTATTTAATAACAGAACTAACAATAAATAATAATAATAATAATAATAATAATAATAATAATCAAAACTAATGAAATAAATCCTATGTGGATGTGTGTATGATTGCAAATAAAAGAATGATTTTCACAGGTAAACTGCAATTAAAGTAACTGCTTGCCAGAAGAAATTTAAGCTTTGACCCAGTACTCTAGTGACTAACTAAGCCCTACGTTAAGAGTGAGACAACTCGAAGAAGGTTCTTTGAAAACTGTAAAGGACAATTTGATAAAATTCCTTTGCTGAAACTGTAGTGCACCCTTACACACCAAAACACTCTGTCATTTACAATAATGATAATAACAATCATCATTATCATCATCATAAGTGGTTCCAGAATATATCCAGACCCCTGAAGCACCAGGGATTCTAGGTAAATTCTATCATCTCCCTCAATTTTAAATCACTCCATAAATTCTTAGTATCTTTCAGAACCATCTGGAGATCTTCATTTCTTTTTCAAGAGAAAACATCATAGTTCTAAACATTAGACCACCTACTCTTAAGCATGTAAACATGTAAACTTTTGTAGCATCCAATCAGATGGACCCTATAGAAATTCCAAAGCCAACACAAGAAGTCCCAAGGAAACAAATAAAGTAACAGTATAAATGTCATCTGGAAACACACAATTATAAAAATAACACTAACCAGCTTGTTCAAGTAGTACTTCCTCTCCACCCGGATGCTAATATGAGAAAAAAGGAACCTAAAATTACACTTATTGCTGTTATTAATAATAACAAAATTAAAATAATGAAGTTAGTAGCAACTTAAAGAATGGCAAAAAGAATTTGCTTCTCCACTCAACTGAACCAAGTTGTTTTGAAATTTCAAAGAAAGTTAATCATACTTTTAGCATTTTCCTATGTGTTACCATGGTTGTTATCGGCCTTTGGAAAAATTATGCACTCTCTTTGCCAAACCACCTTAGTAGGGTGTAAATAAAACGCTATCTGAAGCCAATACATGAGTCAAATCTACAGTGAATAGACACTGAAAGAAAACCAACATGGAAATAGTCTCTGACACCTTGCAGAAATAATCAGACAAAACGAAATTAAGCCTGAAAGTTAGCAGCTGCAAAAATTTTGTTAACAAAGTTGTTCTGTCTGATAAAATTGACTTGCATCCTACCTTACTACTCATATTAAAAAAAAAGTTTCATTAAACATGTAGAGAGGAGGGAACAAAGGGCAATAAAGAAAAATATACTCCTATTTTTTTTTAAGATTTTCACAAAAATTTGTATGAAATGAAGATAATGAAAAGAGGCTTTACAGTCTATATGTGTTTGGATGAACAAATTTCATGTTCAAATGACCAAAATCATCCAAGTTGCAAGCACCTGTCCGATGAATAGCGCACTGTGAAAAAGATGAGGAAAAATCTTTTTATGTTTTTCACCTGAAATAATAATATGAACCGAACTGTAGCACTGATTCACGTGGGAAGTGACTGCTACATCTCGTGCCACAAGGGGCAACATGACGAGAGAAGGGGTGATACAGGAATCTGCTTCAAAGGGTCGCTCACCCTAACCGCTGAACGTGGTATGTGGAAAAACATGTTTGGAAGTGACATCAGAATAGGCTATTTCATAGATTAAGTGTACATAAACTGCAAACATTTAATGTACCAGATTAGAAGACTGGTCTATCATGTCTACTATGTACATTAACTCTTAATGAGCAAAGGTCAACGTGCATTTCTAATTGAAATACGGTCATTGGTGGATAAATATCAATGGAACAAAACTTATAGGCGCAATCAACTCTTGTAACAGGTTCGAGTTCACGAATGAATCTGCTCTTTTCCCCTTAAAATTGATGCGATCTGGATCCAAACAAATAACGATCAAGTTATTTGTAGATGAAATGTACAATATTTGTATTGACATGTACAGTCCACGGGCCGGTACAGATTGCATCACACCGCAAATCATGCGAGTTTTCGTTGAAGAAAAATCCTTCTTACCTCATCTAAGAATTTCGTAATATCATAGATTCTGTTATGGATAATTAACCAAGACGATCCCGCAGCATTATGCTTTTGAACTTCTTCTAAAGGGATGGTTTTTACACTCTCTGCTGATTCAGCCATGATACTACAATGGGAGGAATCTTCCAAAACGGGTAACGCATGCGTGAAACTCGCCCCAGACTGCCATACCGTAACTCGACATTACTTGGAGACAAGGTGCCCTGCAGTACCCTGAGTAGCCAGTGTTCACCATTCATCCGAACGCGAGTAATGAAGACCATTAAAAGCGAGTGAGAAGTCGCGTTCTTGTCCAGTGCCAACTCAAATTCTCTAAACTAAATCGAGACACTTACGATTCTGATTTTTGGAGGCAGGAGAGACCTGAAGAATTTCATTGAAATTCTACATTCATGCAAGGATGCTGATTGCAAACACCTGCCTTCGGCATGCGCAACTCTGGGAAACTGTCTTCGATAGAGATGAGTATCACAAGTAAATAATTAAATAATTTGTTAACGTGAGGATAAAATAGTGAATACAAATAAACGATAGTGATCCTTGCAAAAAAGCATTTCTATTTTCGTGATCTATTTACTTGCAGCTCACCGGCGGGGATCATTTCTCGACTTAAAGAGATGATAATTATGAGACGGATGAAAATGGCCGGAGCCTGCAGTTTGGTTGAAGTGAAAGACTGGTGATCTTACCATTTCCTGGCCTCTGATATTTAAGTTCTGCAGTTCCACATCATATTTGGAAGAAACTGCACCCTAAGTAACAAATTTGTCATTCCTTGTGGTTGTGAGAGATCATCAGACGTGAAAAGATAACCGTAATGACCTTAAGAAGCGAGACAACAGATTACAACAATAAATAGTTGGTTTTGACGAACCTTTAGGACGGGCACAGCTTTCAAATATGGGGGACGTCGGCTTGGGTGCTAATTGTGTATTACCACAGAATATTCCATACGCGGGCTAACTCAAAGTCGGATTTCAAATTTACCATGCTAGCTTGATCGGATTTGGAAAAATTCTGCTATGGTCCACAAGTCCAGGCTGGGTCATAAGGCGAGTGTTTAAGGAATATGTAAGCAGCGTTGGACCAGCATCCTTTTCAAAGAGAGTGGTCATACTCTTAATCGCTTCAGTAGAAGAAAACTGAATCCTTCCCAACAGCTATGAAAGTCAGTTTGAGCTCAGTTGTTAAAATGGCAGTTGCCATCCAGCGGATAAGTGCTGACTAAACACTCTGCGCTATCTACTGGATAGAGATTTATCCACGGAATGATTCCTCACCCTCTGAACATTTCTACTTTCATCGGCTGGGGATACGCAAATCACCATGGACAAGAGGATGTAGACACACTAATGATCGTTAGAGCATGGTTGGTAAAGGTGAATTGTTAGGAGACCGATCGAATGATTTCTTCATAAGTTGCTGTTGAGAGTGGATAACGCTTTCCAAAAGATCGCTATCCAAGGGGTAGAAATTCATTATCCAATGGACACCGTTATCCACCCTTTAAACAACTGGGACTCAACTCACCCAAACTTCGAACCCATTGAAATTGTTTTGAACTGACTGACCAAAGTATACTTCATATCAATTTTCAGTTCATCTTTCCTTTTTGCCGGCTTTCCTATCCAATCACCTCAAATAACCATGATTAGGATGGAAATTTAGATCCAACAGCTTGGAGTTATAGTAACACCCTGGAATGATTCAAAGAATTCCACAGTATTCAAGACAGAAATTTTAATCCACAATAAATGGAACAGAAGAAATAATTTATACCAGTTACGCTTAAATTTGTGTCTCGTACACAATTACAGGCCATGAACAAAAAACTTTACACATAATGCTTTTGTACATAAACGAAACTTAATTAAACTTGGGAAGCAAATTTTATGTACATAACGAAAGTACTCTTTATGATATTTATTATATAAGTTCGCACAACTCTTGGAACAAAACGATATATAGTTTTTTTTTTAACAAACTGAGCTTAGCTAATTGGGCTCAATTCATTCCTATTGATTAAATATTGTAGTGGCTTCTGAAAACTGAAAAGGTTGTCGTTTTATCAGTTATGGAGGTTTCTCGGTCTCTTGAGGAGTTTAGAAGAGCATCGTGAGTGTTTCATAATGTTAATTGTCTTATGTCTAAGGACCCACACAAGTTGGTAGCTTCTGATTGGCTAATTGCAAAAAGATTTTTAAATTATCAATTTTAACTACAGTACGACTAGGACAGCGGTCAAACGGTGACCATGAGAAATTCCTGCCAAAGCGAGAAAAGCTGGCTAAACCAGAGTTTCGAGGCTTCGGGAAACGAAATTATTACCCTACCGCCTAAATATATCACAATATGCTTTAATTTTACCAAAACTTACGTGAACTTGCGCCTATCTTACAACCAAACTTCTCAAAACAATGGCAGCAAGACCTCAGAAGTCTCTAATACCATAACGAACCGTGCACCTTAAAAGCGAAATTTCACGAGGAAAAGAACGTCACATTTGTTCTCATCATTTGTGAAGATGATCTAGGAAAACCAAGGAATATGGCTTTTTTCGCTGGTGCTCTCACTTCATAAATAAACACAAACCACAGAAAGTGGAAGATTAACCCACTAATCTCTAAAGAGTTACACTGTTATCTGTATTTTACACAAGGCTTTCATAGAAAGAAATGAATATCACCGCTGTTCTAGATGTTTGCTGTTGACAAGGTTATTCTGCAACCCGTCAACCTCCTGGCTCTTTTACCTTACTGTGTAGAAAGAAATTCTATAGCGTATTCAAAACGATATCTTTGGAAGGAAGACTACCTAGAAGAACAAATAACTGTGTAACTTTCTCTAATCACAAAATAACCAGAAAACTTATTTCATATTTAAGAAAGCTCACACCTCGCGAGATGTGTCATCTAAAATAGGCAGACAGCATCCAAGATTATTCTTGAGTCTTGGTTGTGAGTGTAATACGTTTCGTAACCTCAACATCTGTACTACTGCGGCTAAAATCCAGAAGGCTCTTCATCGGTTTATATCTACCCCAATAATACTCAATAGGCTACTGTTAGTTTGCCTCCTTTACATTAATAAAAGCCTTTAGAAGCAAAGAGTGATTTAAAAATTAAATTAAAACCACCAGAGCGCTTAATTTAAGTTAAATTACCTAGCCCATAAGAAATAAAGAACATATCTGCAACAGAACCATACATTACCCCTCAAGAAATAAGTCGTTAAACTTCTAGTTAACTTAATAAATGTACACTTCTTTAGATGTCTCCGTTATTCCAATTTAGTCCCACTAAGCGAGCTCTATATAATTTAAATTAAGCAATAATAATTTACGTGCTATAACACTACTTTTAAATTTGAGCCACGGAACTTACCACAGTAATTCCACATTTAACGCCACGGTGGCATTATCGCGGGCGCAGAATTTACATTAAAGACCAGGACTCGAGAGACAAACCGAAATTAGCGCCTAGTTTGTTGCCTAACCCCCCCCCCCAACTACTCCCACACAGATCGGAGAAGTCATGAAAGATAATCAACTCGTTTCAATACAGCTGTGTCTTTCCAAATTATGCGAATTTCAAACTCCCTTTACAAGGAGAAATCAAGGTTCTACCGAAAACCGAAAATAAGTTAAAATAAGAGTAACAACTACAAAAAAGCAACGATTCACGAGGAGTAGACTTTGAATCAGGTAGTTTTTTTTGCAAGCTTTGACCAACTCATAGTGTATTTTTCCAATTTAAGATACAAAGTCTTGACTTTTTCAGTCGCTGGTAACTTATCTCTTGAACAAGGACGCAAAGTTTTAGTTTAGTATAAAAACAAACAAAACATTACAAAATGGAAAGACTAAATGAAAGGGAACATAGATGGTTTGGAATGGAGATGATTAACAAGCATTACAAACGAAATTGAAAGTTTTGGTGGCAACATATCACTTTCCCCTATGACAAACGGCAATTTACAGCTACAGAGTACCATAACATCACAAACATCACAAACAGATTGATCTTTGTACATCTTGCTTCTGAAATTATCAATTTTCTGTAGCCGATATGCGAACAACTAATTAAAGAGTAAATCTACTCAAGTCCTGAATGTGATTAAAAAATATCAAGTTCGGAGCTACTCTAAAGTTTCAAAGCTAAATACGGTAACTATGTTACATGATCGGTGATCTATTAAGAAAGTACTTGTGTGCAGTCCTCCACAGATAATCACGGTTGAGCTGTTAAGACAGCCTCACAGGCCCTTGGAAACTGGGGGGAGGAGAGTAAAACTCATTCAACTTGACAAGGTCACGGATGCATCTACTGCTTGTGTGCAGACAGGTACACCAAAAGTCAAACATCCGTGTACCGAACATCGATCTCTTCCAGTCTTGGCAATTTCTGCAACAAAAATTTAAAACGAAATTACAACTCAGTGGGTATGTATTTGATGGCAATTGAACAAAATTCCGAGAAGTACAAGAAAGGTGCAGAGAGACACATTTAACCACTGACTGGGGCGGGATCAAACTGGGAAACACCATAATTCTGTTTGCGAGTCCAACACACTGACAATTTAGCCACGCTCCCTCCTGGCACTGAACAAGGAATGATCACATAAAATTGACAATGAATTGAAAACCGTCCCAAAAATATGTTGTGGGTCTATTTTATTTTTCTTAATTTCAGAACCATTGCAAAAACTCATTGAACTCAAACATAAAGGACAGTAAAATTTAAAGGAATGAAGTAGGACCACAACCGATGCTAAGGAATAAGTAAAAAAAAAAGATGGATAGCAAAGCTACCCCGAAGGAGAGAAGCCACTGTTCATTCTGGAAAGTTAGAAATAATCTACCCCAGTTATATTCAACCGCTGGAAATACTTCCCATGTGTTCATATTTCAGTATTTTACTTCGCAGGTAATCGCTAGAAAACATTTCCAACTCTGAAACAAATTTAACTCGACTCGATTACGCCACTTACCTTAAGTTTTTCGTATGTTGTCGGCGAAAGTCTGGTGCTGTTCAGGTTCAGATTTCGAAGACTGGACATGATCACGAGGGATGACAGTCCGTCATCCGTCACGGGCGTCTCACACAGGTTCAGTGACTCTAAGTTGTGCAGCTGCTCTGCCACCATGTGCAAGCCTTTATCACCAAACTAGAAAACCCGGTTTAATATTTTAGATTATCATTTGCGTGAGACTGGGCTTCAGGGATTTTATAACCTTTAATGCTACAGCATCGTTGGGAGAGTATCCCGGCAAAAGATTAAAACTCGACTTCCTCTACGTCCCATGCAAGTTCTGACACACGTGTATCCTAACGCTAGTGCCTGGGCCTGCCCTCTGATGACTGTCTAAGTAGGGCGACCGTACCTTTCAGACCTTGAAGACGCCTTTTTACCGCTTCTGTTTCCATGTTTGAATCAAGGCAGGGGAGGGTAGGCTACCCACAAAAGTTGTAACGGGGGATGGTTAAGCTTCCCTTGGGGTAATTAAGGGAACCGCAAGACATAGTCTTTCATCTCCAAGACCTTACTAGCAACAGAAAGAAAAGGAATGATCAACAAACCTGTGTGGACCAAAGGTTTAAATGTAGCAGGGCTGGCAGTTGAACCAAGTATTCAGCACAAGCGCTGGTTACATGTGTGAAGGCAAGGTTTAGGCTCTGAAGGTTACCAAAAGAACCAGACTTGAGAAGACGGGCCAAGTCGTCATCCTGTAGAAGACAAGTTATTTGTTACGTCAGCGCATTTTTTCCACTGACAAATAGACGAGAGCTTATTCGATGGTCTGCCAAGACTTTACATATTGGACCGACGTCTTTAGACCTTAACTAATAAACAGGAGCTTGTTTTACGCCTTCCGTTTGCTGTAGTTTTGGTTGCTCCTGCTGATGTTGTCAATGTATTTAACAGTGCAAAAAACACCTACCGTCGATTTTGTAGGAAGGGTAAGTACTGTTGGTCCCCCCTTTTCCTGCTGAAGAGAAAGAAAAAATTAGGAGACATTAAATGTTCCTAGAGCTTAACTGACAATTAAACAGGAAAGAACACATTTAAAGCACTTTCAAAGAAAACAAATATTTTTCCTACCATCTGTCTGAACTTGGCTTTTCTGAAAAACAAAGAACAAGACGATAAGTACGGATCAAAGAACTCATTGGCACAACACCATGGCCAGCGGCCAACGTCCGTGCATGTGTGAACGTTGCATCGAGGCAGCCCTACATAATGTTTTCAGGCTAAACTACCTCAAAAACTAAACGGTTACGAAGTTTCAATCGCGTAAAACATATTGAGAAAGCTCAAAACAAAATGGTAACCCAAAAAAAACCCCGTAATTAAATAAACTTTGTGTTCGCAAAATCTTTAGTCCTCCTTCACCATGCTTTTATTTCCTTTTACATTTTTCTTTTAAAGAACATTTCAATTTATTGTCGTAAATTTTCCATGCAGCAGTTTCATCGTGCGTTTTCCTTAAAAATTTTACGCGGAAAATTCACGCACGGCTGACCAAAATTGATCAATTTGCGCATGCCCAACGATTGACCGCTGGGTTGTCTTTTGTTGAATAACAACTTACTTCTGACACAGAGCTTCATAACACAGTTTGCCTTCTTCGGTGCTTTCTAATGTAGAAATGATCTGTAATTTTTCATTTTCGTCTTGCAGAACCTCAACTTCTAACATGAATGCCAAAGTCTGTCAAAAACAGAAACAGAACTGAATTAACCCTTAACAAGATACGATAATTTATTTAACCAAAATGATGATAATAATAACTGAGATTAGTATGTACATATACATGTACATGTATTTCTCTCAGAATTTCAGGGCCCAGAGACGATTGTTCAATTGTTAACGGGTGATTTTCTATGCACAGTGCAAATAACATCAACGATTATAATCTGCTTCAATAACAGTGCTCCACTTACCTGAATAAAACTGCTGTCGCCTCGTAACGCAAGCAGCATAAAGGGGCCGAGCATGGACTCCTTGAGATCCAAAAGAATCTTTTTTCTCCTCCCACAACAATTTAGTAAGCGACCCATCTGAAAGGAACAAGCAAGGTGTAACTCGATGAAAGTTTAACCAGTGTGGCAGACGCCCGAGTGAGAGTGATGCAAACCGACACGCGCGACCGACACACGCGAATGACAAGCTACTGCTCACGGGGACCGTAAGTTTTTGACTCAGGAGTGACATTGTAAGAAAGATTAGATGCTAGTCATTCTTGGGGGTCAAAAAGTTAAGTTTTGATAGAAAAAAAACTACAAAGGAACTCACCACGTGGGAGAAAAAATGTCCTTCATCAAAACAAGAAACTCCTCCTGGGCAAATGATGTCGATCCAGCCATCTTTACCTTTCCTGACAGGAAGAATGGACTGATGGACCTACACAAAAACAACGCAATTCAATGAAATGAAACATAACGGAAATGTTGAAATGTGTATTCCTCTACGGATTGTAAAATTTTTTTCTCTGGCACAGTGACTTGCGATGAAAGCTGGTTACTAGTAGTCTACCGATATTTTCAAAACCCCTTACCGCCGTCTGCTTAGTCTCTGAGCAGACTCTTGTCTTAAGGTTAACCCCATCAGCAGTCGCTTATGGAGAAAGTTATTAAAACCCCTATAGGAAAAGGCTTTATCACAAACAAGCAGTTCTAGCCGGGGTCAGGGGCGTACAAGAGGAGAGGGCTTTGGGGAGGAAGAAAACGTTTTAGGGCATTTACTGTTGGCACGAAAGTGGAAAGAGTACCTCACACCGCTGATCTTCTGCAAACGCTTTTATCACTGCACTAATGTACCTGTCAGAGGAAGTAAACATTGATTACTGTGGGTGGAAATAATCAAGATGGCCAATAAGATACTGAAGAACTTGACCACTTTTAAATCCTTCTAAAGATTTCCAAGATCACTTTGTTAACGGGAGTCTCTGCTGCCTACGTAAAAGTTTTTTATTCACTACCACACTAAGAAGGATATCCTTACTAATAGAGAACACAAGCAAAATTTTTCATACTCGCCACCCTCCACCAATAAAGAGATTAGTCGAGGACAGTAGGATGTTCGGCTGATAAGTCTGTACTCGAACTGGTATGGTACGTATGTTGTCGAAAGCACGTTCGAAACCGATAGTTCGCTTGTCTGTATCAAACTTTATAAACGTATGTTGTCGACATTAAACCGATAAGTTTGTTCGCTTGTCTGTACTCAAACTTTATAAACGCATGTTGTCGTATCGGCCGATTTGAATTGTGCTCGTTCGAACATCCTACTCTCCTCGACTACTTTATTCTAGTTTATCTCTTTATTGGTGGTTGGTGGTGAAAGACAATAATCACGTTATTTTAAAGTTCGCTCAGTTTGATTCATTAAATAGAGAACACAAGCAAAATTTTTCATATCCCTCAGACGGTAAGTACCTCAATTTCTGAGCATCACAAGCCTTGGCGATCCACTACAATTATTACATTACTGGCGACTTCTACTTTTGACCAGAAAAGTATTTTTTTCCCTTAATTCAAGTAGGAAAGACAATAATCACGTTATTTTAAACTCGGTTTGATTCATTAAAGACGGTTGAATATTTGCTTAAGTGTGTACACATCACATAGTGTGTACCTCACGGTGTAAAGGACCTGATCTTACATATAAGGGTGTGACTACTTACAATACAAATGTCTCGTTCTTGAGAGCCCTGTAAGAGAGCAGTTCAGGTAAGTACGCTGTGAAGGCCAACACACAAATTTGGATTTGTGCTTGTGTAATTGAAGTACGCAAGCATCAATACCAAGATTTATAAATGTTCAGTGAAAGCAACTTTTTAGAATTAAACTTATTGCAATATGAATACTTACTCTTTTGGGAAAGGTATGGGCTGTAGTAGTGTTGATAGATTGGGTCTCCAGTCTTCAAACTGTGCACTGAAATTGAGAACCAGATAGCAACGAGTCATTTATGTCTGTGCAACACGTACACTTAGGTTTCTAGTTCTTCAGAGCAACGTGGAAAAGATTTTACAATTTTGCATAATTACACTGCACCATCCAGTAAAAAGGTGTAGAAGTAATGCAAAGAAGCAAAATCATGCTACAAGGTTTTACCTTAATAAAATACCAGAGCCTCTATACTAATTTACTAAGATATGTACTTTGTATGTTTAAACACGATGGGCAGAAATTAGAATTCCTTATCTTATATCGAGAGTTATATTATAAATAGGTTCTAGTTAGTTCTATTATTTAAGTGTAAGCATAGAGATTCTTTTCCAGCTAAGTTTTCTGTTCCTTTTTTTAATTATTACCAATTAGTTAAAAAAAAAAAAAAGGTTTTGACAGAGACTGCCTGATCTGTGGCACTAGGCAAAAGGTTTACATACATGTATCCACAAACAAAACTGGAATACAGAACAGTCTGGACTGACATCTTTATTATCTCAAGAGAAATAATTACCAGTAAGTGATCTCTGAAAATAATTCCAAATGATCAAACAAATGAACTTTTTACTAACATGGTATCCATGACTGTCATGAAACAGAGCAGAAAGTTTGTGTTGATTTCTTCGTACTTGACAAGCCTAGTAATGACACATAACACAGACAAGTCATTTTTAGTCACACTGAGGTTAACTTGGAAGACAGAGTTCATTTTACTACGACAACAACAGCAAAACCAATCTTTACATTTTGGTCCTTAAAATAAAAGCTACTGCCAGTCTGGCCCACAGGTAGCTGGTGCTAGCCTAGACAGGCCAGTCTTGAATACTAAAAGGAAGAATCCTAACTTATTGTGGATTAATAATTATTTATAAATAATTGCAAAGAAGTTATCATTAAGATGATAAAATAAAGGAGGGTGAAGACAGACAACAAATCAAATAGCAGAGGTTCTTCCAGGAACCACTTCAAATTCAGTTTTCTGAGCCATACTACAGACTTGCATTTACAAAACTAAGAAAACCTACACTTTACTAAACTTACAACTTGTCACTTTGATCAAATGTGGAATAAACGGCAGAGAGGACAACTGCAACTAGATTTGGAAGGACACGAGGATGTGGACAGGTGGCACTTGGACTGTGAACACTGGTGAAAATTCATTAGAAAAATTAGGATTATTATAATACAGAGCAACTATGGTTAAGCAAAAAAACAAACCAAAATCAAAGAAATCATAACAGCCAACAGGAGCACAGAAAAATGCCAAAAGAAGCCATTGCAAGCTTTGAGTAAAACCTGAAGTGTGAGAAAACTCTCTGTGCAAAGATCTGAACCACCAAATTTACAGTATTTGTTAGAGACAAGCAGTCATCCTTAAAACAAACAGATGGAGTAGCATAGCCTTACCTCTCTACAAACTCTCTGACAACATCTGCGTAATCTTTGCAAAACAATGTATAAATATAATCTTGTACAAACATTCTGAGATGTGGATATTTTCCAAAATCCTGAAAGAAATGATACATAATGATCAGTAAGTAAAGCACAGCACAGACTGGTCATTATTAACATGAAAATAATCATCATTAAGGAACTGAAAACCATTTAGAATACAATTTTATCACAATTTCTGATAATGAATATCAACAGATTGTTCATATAATACTTGTGTCTCACAATTTGTGGCACCAAAAACACTTCAGACTAAATTTACCATCAGCACAAGTAGTTCTTAGCTTAGAAAATAATGACAATTATAATAATAAAAATAATAACAATAATAATACAGTCATTTATATAGTGCTGTATACAGAAGTTCTAAAGTGCTTTATGATAAAAGGAGAGCATATAATTGAGAAAACTAATAATCACCTAAGATAAAGGCAAAAGCAAAGTTGTATAGAGCCTTAAAAGTGACTAGAAGCAAGTTAAAAACCAATAAGATGTTCAACTGAGAGCCAATGAAGTTCTTAACTACAATACACTGTAATTCTCACCATGTTATGTTTAAGAATTCTGTGAACAGCTGGGAGGAAGACATCTAGTACTTCATTATTATAAAGTTGGCCCTTGCAATGCTGCAACAAGCAACACACCAAAAAGATACATTCAGAACAAAAAAAGAACTCTCGTTAAAACTTTGTGACATAATTTTTTATGCCTACTGAACATGTAAGGTTGGACAACCTTTTTACACCATTTTTCAAACTTTTCAACACCTGGTTGATGGCCTGTTCTTTGACTATCATACTGATGGATTCTATGTTTGAGATCTTACAAAATGATCAATTACGATGAGGTTTTATCATCCTGCACGAAAGTTACACAAAAATACACACATACAGTGTCTACATGTAATTGTCGCATCTTTACCTTGCTAAAGAAAGCACAAACTTCAGGGGAAGGCTGAACATATTCCAGAACAGGTGCAAGTGCCTTGAAAATCAGAAAGACAAATTCATCAAAACAAAAAAAAAACAAAAAAAAAAGCATTCTGTACAAAATGTAAAATTTAACATACCAAATAGGGCTGTTGGTGTGTACCATAACAATAGGAGCATGAGTGTAATGTATGTTCCACAAGTTTTAGTGTCCACTAATGTTCTTCAACATAAATTTTTTTTTGAATCTACATAGTACATAATGCACCTAAGTGGAGATATGCATCATTAAATATCTGCCTAACCCAGAGACATTGGTTCAAAAGACTTCTTCACCTACTAATAGCAGTAGTGGTCCTTTGACCTTCACAAACTTTTATAAAACATCTGTGTTCAATCATCAAAATTCAACATTCTAATGCTGTTTACTGACCACTATTAAGTTTTCTTGTTCCTCATCAGAAAATGAGATGAAATGCTGCAAGAAAAATGTGTTAGTGTTAAAATTATGATTTTCACATGCAAGAGACGATGAGTGAGAGATGTTTGTATGTCTGATGCTCACACTTCATTCTTTCTGTGTGACACAAGACAAACAAAACCCCTCACACTCTATGGTTGTCTAATGTACATCCCATCAGGTTAAATAAATTAAGATATCAGAGTAGAATCTTACATGTGCGAGGATATCCGAAACCATCTCCAAAGGAACAGTAAATATAACGTCATCTTGTATTGGAGTGGTTAGTGAGAAAAGTACAAGTTCCTATGATAAAATAGAAGTCAAACCTTTTCATAATTATGCAAGAGGATCTGAAAAACAATTATTTGAAAACATAAGTGCAGTGATTTATTGTCAGACTGACTAAATAGCCAGTTGATTAAGCTCTCCACAAATGGAAAAGACCAAACCAAAACAAAAACAGCTTTAGTTAATACAAGCAGATCAATTAATTTGTACCCTCTGAAAATAATTTGAACATTCTCCCTCCCAGCCCCTCAAAAGTAATTTGAGAGCTGACACATACACTTTATCAGTTGATACAGAAATTGCCATGTGAAAGAGACCCTAAAATACTGTTGTCATTTATCACTCTGTTGTGGAGGCAGTGTAGCTAGGTGGATAGGGCACTGGTATTGTAATCTGTAAGGAATTGACCCTACTTCCTTATGGATTTGTTCTTGGTTGTCCTAAGGTCAATTCCCTTCACTACACTTTTTATACAATCAACTGATCTGCCTCCTGCCAATCAGGGTTTTTTAAGAAGTTTTGTTTACACTCTTGGGCATAGATGAAAATTACTTGGTGTAAATCTGCTTCAGTAGAATAAAATGAATAATTACCATGATTATTAGAACTTGATCAGTAACTGATATTAATATCTTGTCGCCCAAGTGGATGCAGTGAACAATAAAATATTGTTTAGGGCCCAAAATGGTAATAATACATACCCTGAGCTCCTTTGTTAAAGCTTCAGGATCACTGGATTTTGATATAAGTCTTTTATATCTTAACAAGTTAACCTGCAAAGAACAGTGTTCTCAGTATTGGGTTTGTGCCTGAAATCCATGATCTTTTTTTTTTTTCATTTGGAAAATGATATTTAGAGCAATGATGCTTAGTATAAACTGTTACTCCAACATGGTTTAGTGCTCAGGCGAATTTGGGGCAACAAATAACCACAGTGTCTTCATTTTTGCATATCTGAGTCCCCATAAAAACTTGCTTACTTGAGGTTAAACTAAGTACTCTTCCCCCTTCCAAGACAGATGCTTAGGTAACAGGAAAAAGGGAACTCTGTAGGAACTTTAAAACTGCAACCAGCCAATACATCATGTACATGTAGTTTACCAACTGATTAGTCTTGCTCCACAAACAAAGCAGAAAGAAAGCAGGGATGACCTTACTAAATCCAAGTTCATGGACAAGTGAAATTACATTAAATTCAAAATAGTTAATTTAGTTATTTAAATAAATTATATTTCAATTGTATTGATTTTTAAAGCAGTTAACTTAATTTATGGCTGATTTAACCCATATTTTTTGTCAATGGGTACAACCTGGTAGACTGATACTGGTGGAGAGTAAAAGAGTTGCCCACTCAGAAACTGGATGTGTGATTTGCATTAAAGTTGAAGCATTTTATCAATATATTGGCAATCTAAGTAAGTTTATACAATTACTGTTAGAATAATTTCCTTACCTTCCATTTCAATGAATGAAGCCACTGATCTCTCAGATATGCATTGGGTGCCTAAAGAAAATAGGGAAATTTAAACAAGTCATCTCTTTAAGGCAAATCTGAGGGTTAATTGGGTTTTAACTGTTGCAAATCACAAGCAGAGCTGCACAACTAAGGAAAGCCTAGATATTAATTCTATGCAAGTTGATGTCAAATACTGAAAACTTACCCCAAGCCTTGCCTGCAGTAATATTTTCATGAATCTTTGCCACTTTTTTTTATGTTTTTGTGTGTGTACTCTTTTTATTTTGGTGTCTTAAGAATACTTTTTAATTAAAATTCACCAGTTCCCACCTTGACAGTGAGGGTTGGGATTGAAGCTTGGCATTCTGAAGTAAACATGCATTGCCTATATTTAAATCCAAACTTTAACAAAATTAATTTTTTAAATTTACCTTAAGTAATACAGAGCCATCTGGAATTGTAACTCTAATGCAGAAATGCTGGCCAGTGTCCCATCTGTTCACAGTATATGCATCCAGTATTTCTTGATAAGACAGAGGACATTCCATGAACCCCACACACTGAAACACACAGAGAAAAAACATATTAAACAATGTGGGCGATCTTAATGTTCTAAAAATCCCCTGCTGTAACTATTTCAAACGTAAGAATTACAAGTAGCCCTTGTATAGTTTAATCCAAATCATAGCCAGTTGGGATATTTTCAAACCAGTTTTATTCCTTGATTTCCTTTCTCATGTATTCATTTTCATCATTAAAAAAAAAAATTCAAATCACACCTAAAAAGTTGTTTTAAAGAAGGAAAAGAGTTTAAAAAACAACATAAAAAACATCTAGGAGAAAAACCACCCAAACATTAATGAATGTTCTCTAATGTTAAAAAAGGTTGGAAATCCAAACTTGTGGGTGCAATTTGAACAAAAAGTGTGCCATGCAGCAGTTATCTTTTCCATAAAATCATCTCAGTGCACAAAGAAATTATTAACATGTTATAATTTTTCTGTTCCTTTGTATTTCCTATGGCCCTGGACAACATCAGTAAAAGAAACTGTACACGTGTACACCATGAACCATGCAATTTCTACAACCGTGCAAAAAATGCAATCTACTGGATATATACCGTTAGTTCATCCATCAGATGGCCTATCAGCAAAACAAATACACACAGTACGTTCTTTGAACAATTGGTATCAGGAAATAAAGCTCAGCTGCAGTTGATGAACTGCTCATCATACACTTTTAGGAAAAAAGGCTGAGGGTCGTCTGAGGGTCGAAGTTGTCTTCTTTTTTTTTGTTTGTTTGTTTTTTAATAATTTGCTATTGTTTTTGTTTTCGCAAAGATATACCATGAAGTTTACAACACATAACACTAGTCTTGTTCTGTTAGGGTTTTGAGCCCCATTACTAATTCAATACTTCAGGCTGGCTAGCACATTTAGTTTGTAGCAGAGCCATGCACAGTTATCTTGAAAAGACCTGTAGTTAGAACTGTAGTTGGTACATGTAGTGGCAATTGATAACCTCAGTGAAAGTCATCATCAGAGTCAAGTAATGAGTTTTTTTGTCAGTCGTAAAATACCAGTCTCTCTAGTGAAACAGATTGATCAGTCATGCAGTGACATTTAACAGTCTGTTAAGAAGTGCAAGCCAGTTGGAAAGTAAGGTTGTTCCATTCACTTCACTTGTCATCTTATTGTTATGATTCGGATTCATAGTGACAAAACTCTATAATCATGTCACCTGCCTGTAAGGATGCAAAATTGGTTTCCCCAATGGGTCTGTTGTCTTCTTTATCACTCAAATTTGAATTAAGTTGTTATCGTGTACCATGACACATACAACTATTGATGTTCATTTTTAAATGGCTACAAATTGAGGTACATTTGGCATATGAAGATTTCCAAGTACCATGAACTGAAAGAGCGCAATACCATTTTTTTACACTCTGCATAACTGCTAACATATCAAAATATAAATAGCATGGTAGATTTGTTATGTAAGAGGCAGATTTTGCATTCTTGTCATGAAAACATCTTTATCTATTAAATCTCATCTGGTACCAAACAAGGACTCCTAATTCTCATCATAAACCAGAAGTTAGTCCAAGAAAGACAAATTTCATTATTTTCTTTCCAGAAAAACACCCCTCTGTTTTGTATCACATGTTTCCAAAGCAACTCTCAACTAAATATGTACTCAAAACAACTGATAACAAATTTGATTTCAAAACTATCCAGCCTTGACATTACTTCAAGTATTTTTTTTTCTTAGATCACTCCATAATATTTACTGAGCTTAACAATGAAATACACATGCAAATGCAGCATTTTCAAAAGTTTAATGAATAAAGAATTGTAATTAGTGAATTGGGTCTGATGAAAAACAAAAATCTTTCTTTTTAATAACAACATTATCTTAGAATGTAAATTTCCTTTTTAAATAGCAATTCATAAACAGAATTTAAAAAACTGTATTCGTGTAACTTATAGACTAAAATACTAGAGAGGAAAGCCCTATAACAGACAAGATGGCAACTCCTCATTAGCGAGTCAAAGAAAAAAAAAGGCATTGTTATGCAAATTTTTGTCTACCTTTGTGTGGAGCAGACTTTTAATCACCCAGTTTACTACAAATTACTTTGCACCCATGATGTTGTTAAAAAATAAATGTCCACTGGATGCTGAACATGCTAGGGCCATCTTTATAATATTCTTGTCAACAACCCTTCAAAAACACCCTTCAATTTAAGCTTAAATATCATTACAAAATAAAATATTGGTATCCACATTGCAGGTTAATTGCTCCAGAATAAAGCAAAACGGGCATTTCAAAAACAACATTGGTTAAGTCAAATGTTTAACCTTGGAACAGAAATAAATTGATTCTGACATAATGTCATGTATGATTGTAGCCTAATCCTTTGAAAATCCCTAAAATCCTTAAATATGAGTCAGCCAATAGGAGAAAATTGTAAGAATTTTGAAAACTAGAATTTTAAGCATCATGCAAGCATTTTCTAGAACTTTTCCACAAGAACATCATAAAGAAAAAATAAAATGGAAAAGGCGTTATTGCACCTTTCTGTGGGAAAGGACAGCCACATTTTTGTTCTAAACTTACCAGTATGACCCCAGAGAAACAACACATAGAAAGGTTCTAAACACATAGAATGAAATAAATATTACCAACCCTTCACTGGGGTCTTAAACAAAATGAAAGTTCAGTCATTTGCCTTTTATATCCTCTGTAGTTTACCCAATTTTAACAATCACATTATCAGTACTCAACACTAGTTTGATGCATGGCATTGAAGCTCCACTTTGCTTACAAAACTCAAACGAGTGTTACTCAGTTAATGAACACTCATGCAGTATCAATAAATACGTTTTTTTAACTGGTGGTTCAACTTTCTCCATGAATAAAAAAAACTATTTGACACATTTGACAAATTTCTCCTGGGATAAAAAAAACCCTTTAAACCAATTTGACTTTTATTACTTTTCTTTATTTCAGGTTATAACAATGAATACAAAATAAAGAAAAATACAAATCAAAATTGCAGCAGCTTACTTAATTCATGTTGCTACCTGCTGGGATATTTCTCCAGCATCACTGGTAAAAACTGCCAATGCAGCCACCTATATAGTTGATCAGTAAAGCTTTCATCATCTAAACATTCTGGCACCAGAGTGTCTTAAGCTCCACAAAAAAAAAAAAACATTCTGGTGATGCAGACACAAGTCTTTCCAAAACAACAAAATTTTATTAAGGTACATGTATTTTTTTATATTTCCATGAAAACTACATGGCATTATCTGATATAATAAAAATAAAAATAGTAATAATATTGATAATAATAATTTTGCAAGAATTATCATAACAGTAATAATAATTCTACGTTATTCAAATGTAGCATTGTTCAATATAATAGTTTCAAGGTCTAATATCCATTTCTTGAGCAAAAAAAGCAGAATTCACCCCACATACCTAGTACAGTAGGTGTACCAAAGGATCCACATAATTGAGAGGAAATTAATATAAATGTTATTTTTGGGGTCATGTTGATATCAGAGTAATGATGATACTTTGCATTTATTGAACAATATAAGAACAATTGATGCTTGCCATGGTAACTACGATAATATTTTAATTAATAACTGAATTAGTGGTATGAGTGGCCACTTTTGCCATTGGAGGCAGCCAAGTGGCAATGCATTGACCTGTTTCTAAAACTTACTGGTGATAAGAGGAACATTTTCATAAAACATTACCCATGCTCCTTTGTTTCCTTCTAAAAAGAATTTCCATTTTACCTTTGTTGCCCAAGTATTAAGCCTTGATTTCATATAATGGGTTGTAGCTAAGAAATTTTGAGTGAAGCAGCTTCAAAATGGTGGACAATTGTAAATGTGTATTATCTAACACATGCCAGTTATGCTTAACCAAGTGTTTGCCGACAGAAAAACCAGCTGGCAATTAGTGACAACCCTGCATGAAAACCTCCAGAGCCAAATGCTAGACACATTGATTATTCCAGAGTTAAATACTGTAGTCAGGGGTGAAGCGAGTCAAGCAACACCACAAAAAATGCCTTTTTTCAATCCTTTTTCCACTGGGCCCAATTATTCAAAGGCTGATTAATGATAACCCAAGGTTAGATTTTAATTCAAGTTTCTTGATCCATTTGTTTGAAAGCCATTTTGGGATCATTTTCTCTATTCTTTTAAGAGCATTCAATAATCAAACTCTAGACAGAAATAAATATATACTGAATTTTCCTTGTTTAGATCTGAAATCAGATTTCACACTTACCCTGGGTTATCTTAACCTAGCTTTGAAAAACCCTGCCCTGGTGTCTAAAATTTCACTTCTTGCAACCATTTCTCAAGTTAAGGCTGGCAAAGGGCAACCTTTAAGAAAGTTGACCTTAGAGACCTGACAATATATAAGTAAAACTAGGTTTTGGACCAATATGTTTGAGATATGGTTTCAGTAACACACATAACTTTATCCATCATAAAATTCTTAACTGTAGACATTAATTTCCACAGTGCTGGAGCACACTGATTCATAGAACACAATATACATTGTTGGCAACACCCTCAGTGTTGTCCCTTTTATAAGTATGGCAGGTAGATAAAAATTTTCAATTAGCAGATCAGTCTTTTTACCTGGTGAATTTTCAAGCATTCCAAGCAATTTAAGCTAGTAATAAGTGGTACAGTATTACAGTTGTAAATTCTGCAGATTACTGCCTGAAAAGGAAACCTGGACACCCTGTGAGTCCATCTATATTTGAATACAGAATCTTTTCGGTAGCTATATGTTGAACAACATACTTCTACATGATAACATACATTTTAATAATCTTTGATAAAAATCAGAGACATTTAAGCATTCTATAGATGCACTTAAGATAAATGACAAGCAACATCATTTGCCATCAGTATTTAATGAGCAGTGATTTTCTTCACTAATATATCTAATATCAATGGCTGCTTGTTATGGTTGCTATGCTACACTTAAAGAAACAAGACTTGACAAGCTTTTGATACAGACCACAAAAATGACGATATCAAAAACACTTCTCCAATATGCCCAACATACACGTAGCTTGAAAATTTTTTACATTTTTAGTCCATGATCAAAAGAAATTCCAACTGAAAGTGTATAGAATTAAAATTTTGGAAGGACATTCACAACTTGATTATATAAATTTCTTAACTTCCATGTTGAAAACATTTATCAAATTGGTCCAAATTTTCCTAGGCATACAACTGTGAGTCAATACAATTCATGCAGACACTATATCAACCCTGGTGGTCATATTATAAGCATAAATGGTCTTCTAGCCTACTCCAATAAATTTTAGGAAAACAGACTTAACTACTTTCTTGTTAAAGTTGTTTGACAGAGAAACACTACAAATTTAATTTGCTATCAAGTGTAAGATACTAAGGAGTCTACAAACTCTAAAATTTTTAAGGATAATAAGGTGTTCTACATCTCAGCTTTGTAGATGAAGTACAGTACAATGCAATCTGAATGTGAGCCTGCACAAAGAAAGTAATCAACTAAGCCCAAGAATATGTTAATAAGTAACTATGATAATTTATGACATTAAGTCCCAATTCAAAAAGAATCAGTGGACCAAGAAATGAGGTAACAAAGGCACCATTGAAAATTTAGATCAACTGAGCAAGTTTTAGATTATCACGAAAGTACAAAAATTTTTTAAAGCTCAAGGTTGCCCAAGGAAATCTGAAGCTAAAATCTAAAGAAAACTGAATAGTGAAAAACTTGTTTCAAAACAAAACCTGAGACAGGTGCCAGCACATCCTGGTTTTATTCATACAAAAAAACACTACACCAGACAAAGACAAGCCCAAGAATAATTAACGCTGCAAGAATAACCAATAAATTCTAGATTAGAACACTAAAAATGATGAGAAAGCTACTTAAAGCAAAACCTCTAACAAATTTGAGTCAAAAATAATGGTTACATGTAATTGACAAAAGAACCCGAGTCACATCAAGCACAGTGACTCAAAATTTATTGTTTCTAGTTTGACTAAAAAGTTCACTTTCCTTGTCTCTGGTCTATGGATTTCTATAAGCTGTGTGGAAGAGGGTTATAAAATTACTACTAGAAAAAATAAATCTAATTTGTTTATCAAATCCATTGTATTTGTGTATGTTTTTGAAATTGAAAACCAAAGTAATTCTCCCATTGTGAAAAGGCATTTTACTGAAGATTTCTTTAACCTGCAACATGCAATAATCTTTCCCTTTCATGTCTATGAAATGCCATTAACTTCATCTTGCAATCATAGAACCTATTTGTCCAGTTTCAAGACATCAGCGTTCACTCCACAGAAAAATTTACGACTTAAAATTCGCAAAACATTAGTTTAGAACCAAATGAAAGAACATAGTGTGCACTGAGTCTCATTTGAAAGGAAATGGATTAACCCAAACAAACTTTTGCCTTCAAGAAACACAGGAATCCATAAAGCCCTTACTGATAAATTAGGATTGTTTTTGCGTGGACAAAATGTACACCCAAGGTACACTGTGTTCGGAAACAATGATTCCCATGACATAACACTTAACAACAAAGATCTAGACTCATAAAATGAAAATGCCATGGTGCCCACTTGAAGCACATTGTAGCCACAGACATCTGTGTATTGGTGAGGTCACAGATCCTATGAACAAGTTATATCTGCTTCTCAAGGCAAAGCGAAATTAACTCGAAATCTATCTTTGTGATGATGTAGATCGAGAAGTGACCCTCTATGGCCATCTAAAATCTTTCCAACGAAGGAAAAAAAAGAAATTAATATGTTCTCTGATTCATTGAGAGGAAGTAGCAACTGTTCTGTATTTCGCAAGGCAAATCAAGACGACAATCGGAGAACTGAACGGAAAAAGTCAACATCACGAAGAAGCAGCTATATTTCCTTGTTCTTCAAATCCTTGTACAATTTACCATAAAAATCACCACGTTAATACGACGACAGTACTACTAAAGCCGCTTCGCTTTCTTTTGAGACAAAGCGACAGCTCTTTCGGCTTAGTTCAAGCTCGCGTTCGCCTGCTCGGTAACCTTATAGGCGAATCGAAATATTTCAATATCTAGCATTCTTGTTCAATTTGCTAGCGCTTCTGCGATAATCCTTAGCATAGCAAACCCTTTGATGATCACTTCGGACCGTTCGAAACGATATTGAGATAAGAAAATGGCGGACAAGTGATTAGACAACCGCGCAAGTCGCTGCTTAGGATTAAATATTTCATTCGCAAAAAACTTTTTAACTCCTACCGCTATATTTCACTCACCGTGGCAGAATACATTTGGAAGTCTCCCAAATAAACATGATGTGCTTCCCATCTTCTTAGAAATTTGGAACTTAACACTTTGCTGATTAAAGTTCGGCTATGGTTTAGGCGACAAACTTGAATGTCTCCTTCGTGGATCAGTTTGAATTTTGGTCCTGCTCCCGTACTACATCTTTGAGGACGTTGCGGTCGCTGTTGTCCTCCATTCGCTATCGCCACAGCCATGGCCGTGTGGATTGCCAAGGCGTCCGACAGTAAACTCACAGACTGGAAGATATAAAAACACCAAAATATTTCACCTAAAGGAACAGTTGTTACTCCATAGATCGAGTGTAAACATATCTAGTCCAATTTGCAAGCAGTCGAAGAACTGGCCTTTTAGCCCGAATGACGTCACATGCAACGAATGATTGACGTCGAATAAGAAATTTCCAGTTGAGGCGACTTATTATCTCTAAGCTGAACTCTTCTAACCAGCTTGGACTGAAAGTCTCGTTAAAACCAGATCATAAGTAAGCTGAAAAGCTTTTCTGTAATTTTGCAGGAATTTCAGCAAACAAGCGAGTAGTGCAAAAGCTATTCTGAAATTGCCTGAACATCGAGAGGGAAAAGGAAAAAGTGTGATCGCATAGAAATAAACTCATTTGAATATTTTGTTTCCTTTGACAATTGAAAGACAAAGATGGATCATACGAATTTGGCAGACGAGCTGCGAGGGCTTTTCATAGCAATAAAAATGAATTTAAATTGCTTTTGTCTTGCCACGAATGACCCAAACAGGAGCAATGTATGTGTGTGTTACTCACTTATTCTGCGATTCTTGAAAATCGTTGAAACGAGATGAGTTGAGGGAAAATGTTGCGATGAAAACATTCAACAGTTTACGGAGAAAGGACCTAAAGTAATCTCGGATGTATCAGTACTTTAATTCAACCGCTTTTTATCCTTTCTTTCCTTGTTACGAGCATAATAGAATAGGGAAAAGTCGAGTACCAAACGAGAAAAGCCACGAAAAAAGAATAATAAATATGGATCTATTGAAATCGTAAAAAACGTTTCGTATTTCTCTTCACACGACAACGTTTCAATCTTTCTTTGCACAAATAACGATAAATGAAATTGACAGTTTTCAATGAAATCGCAAGTCTTTATTTGCAGCATACGCGGCGTGTTTCCAAACAAGAAATAGAACAGTTCTAAACCAATAATATCGAAATCAAGGGAAAGCGAGTGAGGCTTTGACCAGGAGTACAAACAGCTGCCAAGAAGCAGCTCACATTAAAATGCCTTTCTATCCTCTATAATTTGCATATAAGTTCCTTGGAGAACAGATGTCACCTTTAGAGTTTTTTCCTATGAACTAATACGCTTACAGTTGAATATCTTCAATACATAAAGCAGTTTCCCACCTAAGGTATTTTCTTTGCATTTGCGATCAAAATATGAAAACTATTGTTGTTGCGATCAGCAAAAGCAGGGTTGATGTCATGCAACGTTACTTGAGAGAATGCACGATTCAGCTTCATGTTCCGGTTACAAAGTGATAACAGATTTATCAATCTGCAGTCGCGTTAAAAACCGTACACATTAAACTTTGATCCTTGAAAATTGATAAACTTCAGTTCGATCATTTACACCGAACCGGTTAGTGATATACTTGACTAACAAATCTAGATGAAAACCGAAACTTTCATAATTAGGCATCCTCCTCGAAAAAAACATTGGTCTCATATTGCCCAGTATACACGCTAAATGTGAAATTTCAAATCTAAGGAACGACAATTCCAGCGAGGACTTATATTCAGGATATCTTTAATTTCGAAGATATTCTAAACCGTAGAGAGCAAACTTTGTTTCTTCGACAAACAAACACCCAAAAGCTTTGTGTAAATAGATTAACTTTGTGGCTTCTGACGGGGAAATTATAATCGTGCTCTAGCTCGAGGGCTGTCTAGGGGATACAAATCGTAACGATCAAAACGGTTTCAAAGAAAAATTCCAGGAAGTAAATTAACTTCAATGGAATAGCATTCAAAGATTTTAGACTAAACAGTTATCTTGATCTGAAGGCAAAGGCTTGGTTTTGGCACACAAAAGCGCCTGAACGAGGTGTCTTTAATTATCGCACTTGTGCCCCTGTGAGATTAATTCTGAAACTAACATCGTGAAAATGAAAAAGGAAAATGCCCTCGAGGTATATGATTTTCTTAAGACGCCCACGACAGGGTGTCGAAAATTCAAATTCAGGTTTTGTGCCTGCTTCAGTCATTGATTATCGATCCAACAGGGAAAGTTCAACAAATCAGATTGGACACGAATTTGTTGCGCAAAAGTTTTTCGCAAACAACGCATTACGAATCGAGTTGACTTCAACTGCAGTTTCCGTAATTTGATGTCAGTTTTCGGCGGATCCCTATGTTAAAAATTTTAGTCTTTTTCCAGCTCGCCATAGCTCAGCTTTGAATCGAAATAAAAGAAATAAGATTAAACATTGTGAGCAGAGAGCAACTCAATTCGTAACTTATTTTCCCTGTTTTTCAAAAACCACGAAAAATACATTTTTTTCACCGCAGTGAGTGTTAGAAATTTAATTGCTTGTACTTCAAGGCAAGAGCCTGCGGTGCTGCCTGGGATACCATTCAGGGAATCAACCTGACAAAGAACACAACTGAGAGAGGAACAGGCTGTGTTTTAAAAGGACTGGCTTTCAGAGAGACATGAACAGATGTACAAAGCAACACATATCGACTTGGCAAGCTGTGGGTCATTTCAGATAGTACAATGCTTTTTGTAACGATTTTACAAGGAAAATTGAGGCCGTAGGGTTGACACTTCAATCCACTCACACAAGTTGGATATCAATTCTACTTGCTTCGGAGAAAACAAAAAAATCAGAAACTATTTTTTAAAACGCGGTTTGCCTTATCTCTTGTTTATCTTTTATAAAAGCGTGCATCAATGTTAACTTCTTGTGGGATTTCACCTTAGACAAAGAAAAGACTGAAAAAGGAATTCAAAATTTCAGGATAAGCAAGGGTTAACGTGGTTATAGCCACGCCAGGGGCGTACCTAGGAATTTTTGAAAGAGGGAGAAGGGGTCACGGTTACAAATTTCCTCTTGCGTTATGTGGAGAGGCCTACAACGCTGCACTAACTTGTGTATCAGCAGGCTCGTAATCTCGTGGACAGAAAATTAAATTGAAAGGGATTTCTGACGTGAAGATTCTTCTGGTAGGATCTTTTTCACAGAACTGATGTATGAGGTTCATGCGGCCCTTTGCGCCTAGGTACTCCAAGACTTTCCACCCCCGTGGCCACTTCCCTGGTGTTGCCAACAAACCTACGCTCTGATAAATGGGGGAGGAGAGGCTGAAATCATTTCACTGAAATGTAATCGATATTCTTTTTCTGGCTAACGGTATGCACCGCCGGGATATGTAGTCCGCGAATAAACGACGCATTCTTTTAATTTAGTACCGACATCTTTTCGAAGATGACTTCTGCTATTAACTTCTATTTGTGGAATTTAATCGATTAGACATTGTTCGACCTGAAGACTAAAACCCTCGAGATTAAAGATAACATGAGACTGACTCTCCTAAAAACAACTCTTAAACATCTCTTGCCCACACCTAATCTAGAACGTTACTATTTCTGAAAAGTCTAGGACAGAAATTATCAATTTTTAAGGCATCGGTAGTAACTTAGTAATTAACGATTACGGTAACATACAGGCGAGCTATTAATGCATCTCTAATCATCTTGAAAAAAACGAGGGATTAATTCAGAAATCTAATCATGTGGGGATTAATGGTGCATTCACCATGAATACGTAAGTGGCCAAAAGAGGATCGAAATAATCAGGTGGCAAGCATCAAAAGCATGGTGTGTGATTAAATAGGGCTTCAGTTAGACGAAATGAAGATTCCTGATCGATAGGTCATATGGTTGGAAGGGAAGCTGAGTTTCAGAGGAAGACCGCTATTTGAGACAAATATAACAGTAATTGCTACTATCTGTAATGCTTAAGCAGGCTGACGTGAATCAGCAAAGTGCTGAAATAAATGAAGAAGACACTTATTTTGGGTCAGTTCTCATTGGTCAAAATTTCAGTTTTTAACTGAACCCAATTACTTTTCTTTATTCCTTCACTCGTCTAGACGACGTTCTCAATCACGTTATCTTTGTTCACAAATAGTACTAGTGCCTTCCTAAAACAAAGATGTATTTCCGTTAGTTCTGCAGTTGTAATTACTGAGTTGTATTAGAACCTTGCGGGTCTCAATTTTTTCGCATTTTGCATTAAGTCCTTGATGGTTCATTTCAAATCCATACAGGAAAAGATTCCCACGAGAAAGAAAGAAAGAAAGGAAGGAAAAAAAAAGTTTTAACCACGAAAAAAACACACAAAAAAAAAAAAAAAAAAAAAGGCCGTAAACACCAAAGGAGTGTGCAGGGGAAATACATGCTTTCTGTCTGACTTCGTTTAAGTTTCAATTCTTTTGAGAACTACGGTACAGCTAGAGTTTATCGTATTTCAAAGGTTAGAAAAAGTTCCAATTTTTACCTTTCTTTCCCTGTAAATGTTTTCTGCGTGATCCGAACTGGAATCCCAAAAATGAGTTCTCCGAGGAAACTTTTGGTCATCTTAAAGAACAAGAATTTCTTTCCACTAACACAAAACATTAGCAATCGGCTTAAAGAAACTTCAGGGATATTCTCATGCTACACGGCACTCTAAAAAGTTCATTCCTGCGTCACGTTTTTTGCTCAAAGGGGGCGCAGCCTTCCATTAAAAAGCCAATATGCTCAAGAAAACAACTGATAACCACGTCATATTACAAATTAAAATCAGAGAATGAAAATATTGCATATGAAAGAGTACTTGTGAAAAAAGCAATTAAATATCATTTGACTTGTCAGACACGAGCCACATGGCTCACTAAAACCAAGGGATTATAAATCTCTCCCTTAAGCCTAAATTGTTAGAATGGCTCTTAGGCTAAAACTCTCGTTGCCATTATGACATCAAATCAGCTATTTATTTCAATCATCTTCCTTAATTTTCAATTCTTTACTAGGTTACAAAAAACTTCTGATAATAACCGTTTGAAATTTGTTTTTGTTTTTATTTCGGGATTTCTTGTTTCGTTGTTTTTCAGAGTTTATCGACAACTTCAGACAGATATTCCTAAGCTATCTTATAAATGATCTTCCAATGCAGTTCCGACAGGGTTCTTTTAACTTCATCTTCACGAAAGGAAACCCGTCAATTCTTTTCCACCTGTCTGATTACAATCCTGTCAATTGCGCTTTGGGATCCAATCAGATTTGGGCACTTTCATTAGGTTTTGCCAAACTTAAATTACTTAAAAGGTTGAACTTTCCTTATTTCATAGAAAGCCAACATCTGATCTGTCAGACTTCAAGTTCAAACAAGGAACCAAATTGTAGTAGTTTTATGAAGATCAACCACCCTCAGCCGCGATTCATCACCGGAATTTTGTTTACTTCTAAATGATAATTTGTAGCGATGAATGAACCTTGTTGTTTCATGCACGCACTCACCGCGACAAAAGGGGTCCAACCTTTCATTTAACCAATAACGTTTTTTTTTTCATTAGATCAAATATCAAGCATTGCTGCTTCATACATTTTAATTTGTTTAAAAGATTCCTAACAAATTTTAAAAGGCGCATTACTCACGCTGTAAAGTATAACAGCGATAATACTTAATCTTTATAAGATAGAAATACTTTTTCAGATGAACATGTTTGAAGCCTCTTTTTTTGCGCTTGAACGAGAGAGCAGGAGAGCGGGTGACGTCGGAACGAGAAGGGACAGGGTCGAGGGGTGGGACAGAACTTATCTCGCTCCAATCTCTTTTCGCTTGACGCCCTCGACCCACATGAACGAAAAAATTTTGCTTGTATCTTCTTTTCAGTCAGAGAAACGGTCTCAGCAAGTTAGACTTCCGAACTAGTTCAGCGAGTCAGCGATCGTCTGCTCAAAGGTCCAGGTGTATCTCTTCTTGATTAACTACCACGATGAGGCTGACATGACTGCATCAGTTTACAAATTAAAAGCATAACCATTTTTATCAGCACTATTCATCAGCATTGCGGAGAAACAAAAAGTAAAGCTGTTAGTGTACTCACATGGCCACAATTAGTGCAAAGTGAGAAAACGTGTCGTTGAGGCGAAAGAAAAAACTTTTATACCTAGTCTTCAAGTGAGCGTAAAATTTTTCGGCATAAACCACGGCGCCAGTGCGTAGGTCACTGAAGCAGTTAAAGGTGGTAAAGACAATTTAGACCCCCTCAAAAGGCCAGGTTATAGTTTCAAAGTTAAGTAGCCTTGATCCTTAAGTCGCCGACATCAGTCGTCGAGAGTTAACCTGCGCTAATATATCTCCCAACTAAGCGGTTTTGACATTGGTGATTGGAGCATTTTGCAGGTTGCTGGTCGTAGATGAACCCAGTACCGGCATTGCTAAGCTCACTAACGAGTTTCACAGAGCGTCGGACCACAAAATCTGTACTAACGGGTATAAGAATCCTCACTTAGGACTCAGAACGCGGTTTCTCCTATTCTCAAGTAAGAATTCCTTTCGTAACCGGGTCAGAATTTGTCCCCTATAAAACTGCACTCGCAAATTTTTCGGCGGAAAAAAAATCGCCGGGAAGAATGTTAATCAAACACAGAGCAAAGCTAAGATAATTGTAAAGGGACTTAAAAATTGATTGCTACCGCGACGAAATTAAAAACTAAGTTATATACCTATGCACTTTTTGGTAGCAAGCTTGAGCAATTTAACCGCAACTTCAAATGGCTTTCATTGGCATGTCAGCTAAGGGCTAGTGACCAAGCTATACTTTACAACACAAAAATGCGTAATTAGTTCAAATATGAATTGACTTCATCAATTGACTGAAACGAGTGGCATTGCGCAATCATCACGGTCTGTACTCTCATATCTATCGCTCTGACGAAGGACTAACGCTCGAAACGTCAACTTTTTAAACTCTTTACGTTGGCCAATTTACGTTTTCAACTCAGTTTTAAACATTAAATTACCCTGTCATACTCTCCCACCGACGCAGCTCCACAGTTTCTCGTTGACAATGGCTTTATCCCAACGGATAAAGAAGGGACTCCCTAAAATCTCTTAAGTTATTGTAAAACAAAGCCACTTACCGCACAAGAGAAAGACCTTAAAACTAAACAGGATGCCTACCACTTCCGTTGAGACAAATAATTGCAGTTTTTAAATTTTGCATAAAAATGTTCCGCGAGTTTCTGTAGTAATGTCAGCAGGTTTTGTTTCAGAAGAATCAAAAAGCTATTTTGTTTTAGGCACTATTTAAGTTTTGTTGAATGATTTAAAACGAGACTGACAATTCCGATCACGCCTTGCAGTGGGAGTTATTATTTAGGCAAGAACTCACGTATTGTTTTGGCCCCACTCCAATGTTTCTTGACCTCTTCCGATCTTTTATGGTGAAGAGACTGTTGTTTTAAATTCCAATCTGTGCCCTAAATTCTGCCCCGCCGAAATCTATCCGAGCATGCAAGATTGCAGTTTATTAGTCATTTTACAGAGGATCTCGTTAGAGATGATCGATCAGTGCTGAGGTCGTCTTTTGACGGTAATTTTAAGAACAATAAGAACAACGAGGAAATATTGGGAAAGATAATTTTAGAAAAAGAGGTGAAGGAATTGGAGCGGTAGGTTGGATGTAAACTTAATTTGTAATTTCAATGAAAAGGAATTACGCACTTAAATGACCACCTAGGTCAAGTCTCGTGGTAGGGCGGATACGAAAATTTATTCATCCCGACTGCACGCCAAAAATAAAAGAAGCAGGAACATGGGTATTATTGAGTTTCTGTTCCATTTAAAAAGACTCGAAAGTGACATAAATCAATGTGCTGTCTCAGCCGGTTGCATTTGTTTTAGAATGTAAACCTCTTGGGCTACATCACCAATTTGTGTACTTATTTACCACAGATACTGGAAGGCTCGCATTTCTGGTTTGTCGTCTGCGACAGCTTCCTTTCAAGATCAGCGAGCCAGAAACGATATTGGCCCCACCACATGATTTCAGACGTTCTCGAAAAAGAAACTCATTAAGCAAATATCACGAAAGTGTATAATGCTGTTGGAATAAACGTACAAAACCTGAATAGAACTGTCACTGCTCTTTGCTACAAGACTCCTACTTTAACCCTCGCGATGTACTAGATAGTTATCATTTTGTGTTATTGCAACGAGTACTCGGTCAAACGTAGACCAAACAATATTAGAAGTGTACTCAAATTACCCTTAAGACTGACAATGACATTGAGATGACGAAACACTCACTAAACTCTACAAAATAATGATTCCTGGATAGCGCGTGGTCAGTTTAGGATAATTTTAAAAACCGTAGCTTGATGTAAATTCGTAAAACCATCAGTTTACCGACTTATCTAAATTGACAGTGAGATACACTTACAAACAAACCGACAGAAACTGAAAACTATCAACCCACGAAGGCAAATCTTTAGGTGCATTGTTTGCCAGACAGGAAAAATTTGTGTGTCACATCGCCTGAACTGAATGCGATGAATAAGGAATAATTGACAGACATATTTTTTAAATATCAGCAGTAGTGCTTTGAAAAACCGAACAAATGTAGAATTTCCTTCAATAGTGACATCCATCATCAAAAATTGACGATTGTGGTGCACCCAGGTGATAACAGTTTTCATCAGCCCCGGAAATTAGACTGCTGGCAAAAATGGGTGAAATTGTCCGTTCACAACGAATTATTTTAGCATTTACCGAATCGTCCTAACTTGGTTAAGATAATCAATTACTGCAGTCTTCCACGCCAATGTGGATAACATTTTAAGATGAACTCAATCTAATAAACTTTGAGCTCGATGTGTTTCGGTTGATTTACTTCATTTCCTGTCCTTTCTCGTTCGATCAACTTGTATGTAAGATTGCGAAAGAAGAACCGTAACGTACTAAGAACTGCGTAAGAAGATGAATAATAACTAGGCATTTCATGCGCTTGCACCAAACGCGGTTATGCGTTTCTTGAATCAGTTGTGGACGTGAATGTAACGAATATGTCAACTGAGGAAAATTGTCGAACCGTTATGCAAATTTTCGTTCAAGAAACGTAAATGTGGATGACTTTCTCACTAATTAAGTAGACAATGACTCACCAGCTCTACATAACAGCCATTCGATGCTTAGATCATAGTTACCATAGCATGAACCAGTGGCGAGACATGTTTTACATCAGCAAATTTACCACGGTCACACTTCCTTTCAGAATTTTCTACTCGAAAGGCAAACATTTGTGGACATGCGCATGACATAATAGCGACTTCCTTGTTTTGTTTTGACCATCATAAACATGATGTTATTCATGACGTCACATTAGCTCTTCCGTATGGAATTGGCCACCGGATAGCATACCACGTAATTCCTGAAGATATGAAGTTCATGTGCGTTTCGTGAAGAAATTCGAAAAGAATTAAATTGCTGCTAAGAAAGGCTTAGTATTTCAACAGATCAATATTTATTTTTGTCTTAAATCAATCAGATTTAAAAGTATTATCTGTGATGATTGCATTTTTACGGATGAGTGCTGTTCTGTACTTTGCGTGCAGCAAGGTCTGTTGATCGTCATCGCGGGGTGACCTATAACTTGCCCAGCGTGCGTAGATCCGAATTCAATACTATCTATCTTGTCATAAGGTTTTGGATAACGGAATCAGCAGGATACTAAAAACATACAACACGTGCGCTTTTAATGTAATTAAAGTAACACGTCATAATAGCTTATTGATTCAGATATAGAGTGCCTCTATTTTAAGGCCTGTTTAATAATCGTTTAGCGGTAAAGTCCGATCCCTGAGCCACCACCCAGAGAACCTGAGCACAAGTCGCTTTTGTTACCTTTAATCCGGAAAAATTGAAGTGTGAGCCATGAGGGAGTTGCGCGAGGGCATGGGGCGAAAGAGCAGAAGAAAACTAGGAGAGGGACGGGCGCCAATAGGCGCTCAGCAGTCAAACGTAGGAGATGTCTAAGGGGATCAATTTTGGCCGAAGCACACCAACTTTTCGCAAAGAGCTTCAAAGAAATACAACTAAGTTAAAACATTCTCAGGAACCTATATAGAAAAAATGGAGGGAAAAGGAAAATTCGAAAATTTTCGAACAGATAGTTTATTTGATTACGGGTATCGTGTTTTTACTGATTGTAACAGATCAAAACTAGTAGTCGTGGAATAAAAAAATTAATTATTTTTCCGAATAGTGCTTTGGTTATAGACGAACAGTGTTTTGAAAATTGCAACTGGCAAACAAAAGCGACAGAACTATCGACAAGCAAACATGGGATAGCCATAAGCGGTAGATCGGTTTTCAATTGAGTGTGGAAAACCAAAACGGAATTAATCACAACGGCCAATCAGAAGAGAGGAAAATGCCTTTAAGAGCCAATGAGAACTCAAAGTAAAAACAACCAAACTGCCTAAAGCGCGGGAAAACGCGGGCGACCAAGTCATTTTTAGTTTTGCACCTGATTGGTTGAGAAAATAGCGCAGATCACAGAGCGAAGTAAAGCAAAAGCAATGCAATCCCAGATCACTTTTGACACTCAATGGAAAATACAGTGCAACGAACGATAGGTTTTTGACCAATCGGGGAGCTCGTGATATCAGTTATTTTCTAACGCACATGCAATCAGTGTTTCAAGCAATGTGACAGAGAATGTACAAAAGTGATTTATCTGAAAATTTTGTGAACAGAAAATCGCATGAACTGCTCGTGAATGTGTAATTTATGATCACCCATGAGGTTCTGAGGGGTTTGCGATTTGCACTCGTAACGGCTCGTGCAGTTAAGAACATTTTCAAAACAGTGCCCATGCCCATGAATCACAAAATGCACACACGTTCAGGCAAATTTCCTCTACGTAAACTAAATTGAAAATGAAATTGCAAATAGTAACTTGTAACTTGTGATATAGACTGATGATGATAGTAATAATAAGAATGGTATTAGTTACAGAATAAGCGAGTGAAATGATAATTCCTCGAAATGCATCCGGGAAACATAATGGGTAAATAAATAAGCAAACGAATACGACAATAGCTCTTATGCAAGATGACGTCAAATATAAATCTTTGCCACCTTCTTATTGATTTCATTTGCGTTTTCTTTTTATTTCAGTTTTTATGGAAGTACTTTCTTATTAAAATTTATCAGTCTGCACCATGAAAGCGAGGCTTGGAAGGGGGGAGAAGTCTATTCGTGAGTGTAGTGGCTGCGTACAACAAGCATATTGATCAGTTGTCTTCAAGGCCTGGTTACCTTGTTTGAAAGAGTTAGAGCCCAGGTCCTCTTAGATAGCAAACCAATTTTTGGCAGTTTGGCGATGCGATTCCCTCAATTGATTATTTTTTGTATGTATTCCTTTCATAAATCGTTAGATAAAAGCATGACAAAATGTTACCCTGTTTCTTGCTGATGGGTATGCGGTTTTACCATGTTTTCAAAAATAGACACATCAATTAGCTGAATATAGTATAACATCAAAACGAGTACTGCCTTTCATCGGATTTCGGCACCAACAGAATTAATTCAAACGCGCGGAAATAAACATTTAGCTAACAATTGTCTTCCTTCGATAAAAACTCCTGATGCTGCACTAAATGTTCGATTAGATGCGTTAAGGATGTTACTGAAATTTTAACAGGAACTCTCATTGTTTGGAGATATACGTAAATTAAACTTTGGAGGCTGGAAAACTTCCTTTGGTAGAAACAATTGTGTGCAATCTGGTTGGCTTAAAACAAGTCTTTTCCCGTTTATTGCTTTCTTGTTGAGAGTTTGCGATGAATAATATTTATTCGTTGATGAGGAAATGGAATGACAGCCGTCTAGAGAAAAAAAAGAAGACGAAAGATATGTTTTCTGTTCGTATTACAATTTTTTTCCTCAAGTTTTCAAGTTGGATGAGCGATGTTTTCATTTGAAGTTACAGTAACTAACTTGGCGGAATACTTTCCTAATTTTCTCCGTTATAGCAAGTTGAGGAAACTTCTCGCACCAAAATGAGGAGAACACAACTGAGATTTTAAAATAGAATTGTTATAGAAGACAACTACATCGAAGGACCATGCCGCGCATTTGCACTCTGAGCGGAAAGTACATCTATAACAAAGACAAAATTACACAAACGAAATAGTGTTACGGGATTTTACCACAGTGCCGTCACAGCAGTACAAAGGTAGCAACTTCGGCAAATAATTTAATTACTTGCGTTCAATGGCACAACTAGTTTTATGTATTTCGTGTGATGCGAGATTTAAGCGCGTTTCGACCATCCCCGAACAGAAAGCGCCACACTGCTTGCACCTTTGTAGAAATTAACGTTCGGTGCGGTATATGGAAAACAGATTTTAAACCAGCTGTTGTTGCTTTCGTTTTCCATATTTGCGGCATTTAGTTGTTGCTGTCAGTGTTATTGGCTAAACGACCCGTGGGAAAGGCGTATCAAACACAAGAGATGCGACTAAACGCTAAGCAACTCTCAATTTGATATTCACAAATATCCAACGATTAATGCATCTTTTTAATTGAAAATAAAGTCTTGATTTATCTATCGGATTTGAAACACGGACCGTTCATAACATTTTAAAAAACTAAAAATATTGAAATATCATCAGTGTTAAATACGCAAGCGAGATTGTCATGTAGAATTGTCATGTAAGAAAAATTTAAAGCCCGGAGCGAATGAAATATAGCAAGACCTGAGCGCCTGATAATTGAATTGAAATCTGCTTGGGTTCGTCAATTAACAACCAACAGATTACTACTAAAAGACATACGGTACACGGAGTGCTAGCCACGGTAAGGATGGAAGAAATATTGTTGATACCCTTAATCGATGACCGTTTAAATAGAGTGGTGTAGATAATCTTATGTTCATCGTTACCATTTCAAACCTTTAGACTGTATCAGAGTGGATTATGTGAAATTGTTCAATTTCGTTTCGATAGCGAACGCTATAACACGATCGCTCCGTATGAAGGAAAAAGAACAGCTAGCTTTCAAAAGTCAGGTGAATGCGGGTAAAAAACACAATAAATGGAAAAGTTTCGACTTACCTCAATCTCTTCTTTCTTGCGTCGTCTACCAAAGCATAGGGGTCGAGAGAAAAAGGATTTTAAACGTTTGAACTTCATCTTGACGATAAAGTTATTCTAAATGAGACATCGATCTTTTAACATTAAGAGAAAACCGTGCTTTCGTGCACCGCCGGGCAAAGTCGAGGTAAATGTCGTTTACAGTCGGGTTACTCTCTCCACTGTCGTCACAAGAAACCTTTCAAATGCTTGTCCAATAAAAAGTTTGCAGATAAACAAAAGCAGTTTACGTAAGACAGAGACAATTAATACAATAACTCCGGGATTGCGAAGGGGTTCAGTCTTTAGAATGATTTCCCTTCTGCTATGCAAAGAAACCAGGTAGCCTCAATATAACCAGAGAAAAAAGAAAAGGAGAAAAACTAGGTGATAAATTTCCCAAATAAAACTCTAGGAGAGGCAATTTCGGGCCTCAAAATCTCCTAGTCTCTTACTTCATTGTCTAAGAAGTCCAAAAAGGTGATTTTTATTCCAAAGATTGACTCCGTTAGTTAGGGCGAGTGTGTAAGCAAATTTGCTTGATGCAATGTTGGAAGACTTGCACATTCGAGCGACCCGAGTTTAAAGAAGTGATATGATTAAATTTAGATAGCGCGACTCTTTATCCAACAATTTAATTGTCTTGAGATGAAGGTGATTCTCGGAAGCACTACCGCTGTTACTGAAAGCTTTACGAAGTAAAAGGGCACCGTCGTATTTCGGAAATGTTTTTAAAAGTTTTGTCTTTGTAAGCTGGGAACAAATTACAGCCCCCACATGTAGGATATACTTAGTATTTATAACTAAGTATCTAAAAATGATATGATATACATAAAGACCAAGACTGCAGCAGCATACACGAAAAGGCAATCAAGCTAACGATTACCAAAACCTTTTTAGAAGTTATATGGAAAATTGTTTAGCATATTTAGTTGTCTGAGCAATTTTAAGATGCTTGAGAGTGGCAAAAACTAAATAAAAAGGCTCGACAAAAACAAGTTTTTAATAGTGTCATTGCAGAGAAAAAAATCAAATAAAAAAGTTGGAACCCTTTTAAAATGAATTTTTTTCCTGAACCTGGCCAAACACATATCGAGGATCTGGAGATTTACTAAGAGAAGGAGGATTAGACAGAATTGATCACGTTTCATCCAAAATCCAAATGTTCTCAAACGATGAATCATTACGTAAATCCGTTGTTTTGTTAATAAATGTATTATTGTTATTTTCAGTTTGTGTGTAGTGGAAATAACTCACCTACCAAACCGATATAGAACTTTATTGAAATAAAAAGCAAAGGGTGACCCTATTCTTTTTTTTTTTTTTTTTTTTTTTTTTTTTAAGAAATCGGCTGTAGTCAGATGGATAAATACATCCATATTTGCGTATACACTAATTTTTTTTTTGCAATTCGATTCCATAACCAAAACCAATGGATGGCGCGAAGATAAGGTCATTTCATATTAAACAGAAGGAACCCATCTTGACTTAAATGAAGATGAAATTAAAAAAAATTACAGTATTATAGTCTCAATAAGGCGACTGAAGTCCGAAGTCAAGTAACAATGGACTAACAGGTCTACGTTCTCTTCCTCAGCCGAAACATAAATCTCTTCTGTCTTCAAGGTGAACTTTTTGCAGTGGTCAATCGAAAGTGATTATCTCCTAACAAGGAAAAAATACCAACAAACTATCCGATGTAAATGAGGAAAAAACAATTTAGTGCCACAAATGTATGCCAAGTTTGACGACCAAAGTAATTCTTTGTTGGGTTAAAACGATATATATATATATATATTGTCTTTTATAATCTTACACCAGAATTCTTTGGACTTCTGGTGTAAACTAGCATTCTGGTCATATTTTGGCAGAACATTAAGGCCGTGGATGCAGAAATATAAGCACTGATTTGCCTGACATACTTGTTCAAGCCTCCCAATTAGTGAATTTGGAAAATGAACGCCTCCTGCGTAGCCCAAACGTTTTTCAAGAAATGAGTAACACAAACAGTCCGCTATTAATTATTATTGGCGATAACAAAATCAAGATTGTCGCTCTTGCGGCACTAATTTAATGACAGTAGTCTTGAAGAGACAAATAGTAAACCATTCAGTTGCATTTCGCACTGTCTTCATTTTCATTTTTTAGCTTCAGACAATTTTTCTGTTTGTATGAAAACACTCGCGATATCTTAAACGTGCAAGGGTTACTAATGCCTGAATTTAAATGTCTCTGGTTGAATTCATATGCGTAAAGAAAATAGCAAGCTAAATGGCTCGTAATCTTAAGGAAAACCCTATCATAACTTGATTTTTTCGTTCCGCTGTCAGTTCCGGCATAGGATCCTACTCATTTCTCATTTATTCATTAAAATACTCAAGTTATTCAACTAAATTCAGGAACTGCGTTCACTTGGAAACGATGATATCATGATTTCATCGGTGTGTTCCGAGTCAAAGGTTAATTCAAAGTTTATAAACAAATGGATAAAGAGCGTCTCACGGTGGATACACTAGTAAAGGATGTTTAAAAATGATTGTTTACATTTCTAATCTTTGGCAATCCGTAACGGTCAAGCTCTCAAGAAACCAACCAAAACATCACAGTAAGCGCAAAGTTCCCAGAAGTTCATCGTTGACAGCATAATTAAAATCTCAGGCCAATTCAATACCCGTTAACATTAACATATTACGTTGGGGGAAAGTTGAAAAGCTTTTCTTTTATTTCTACGATTAAGTCTAGGCCTATTGTGACCTATTGTGTCTACACTAACCGGAACAAAAACGGAGCTTTGCGAGGAACGCACTAGGCATTTTTTGGCAAAATTATTCGGCCCTTATGCGCATGCCCAAGGATGCCTTAAACTTTAAGGTACCTCCCCTCCCTCGTTGTTTCTCAGTGACCATCTATATTCTTCGCCTGAGAGAAGCCATGTGAAAGTGAAGCGGTCCTTCCCATGAACACAAAACAGCCGACCGACGCGCTTTTTATTTCACTGGCGTGAACCCATCAACCTCTAGAAACGTAGGGTGAAAAGGGTAATTTTACGCAACATGATAAAATTCGATACACAGCTTTTCCACTGGGGCCGCATTTGTGTCAATAGTTATAGATACTATCTAGCGCAACCTTCTGAAAATAAAGTACCTTACTGGCTCAGATAATTTTGTTTTAATCTAATAACATGGCAAGCGTGCGACAAGAGATGGAATTCAGGCCACAGATATGCTTTTATCGCCATGGTAGCTATTTCCAAAATATCTCAAGTAACAGTACTATATGAATCAGCAGATAGAAGTGTCACCGTCTCAAAGAAAATTACTGAAACTAAGATATTCGGCTCGTAGAAATTGAGGTAAAGCGGCAACATTTTCCTGTGTCCTAGAAATAACAAAGAAAAGTATAGCAAAGATCTAGAATGAAGTACCGCTCTTTTCCAATTATGCAAAGAGAAGGATCCCTATCAACAATATGGCGATCGAAAGAAGACTCAAAATGACCCGCCTCTACCGTCAGTAGAACTCGATAAAGTCATCACTAGAGAGCTTTAGTCAAGTGAGGATTGCGCTTCCAGATTAAAGGGGCCTTGCATTATCATAAAATGCGCAAAAGAGACTGAATGTAGAGGCAGATTGTCAGAAAGGAACACTTCACAGACAGCAGTTCTAGACATCTCAAAATCATGGTAATCAGGTGACTCGATGGCACCACTAATCGTTTCCCGGAAGGCATTTTGCCAAGCTTTGCCCGGAAATTCCGCAAATAATGAACTAAAACGACCAGTTTCTTTCGAAACTAAAACTGTCAGGTGGGGGTTTCGGTTTCTGTCATTGAACAGTTACGTAACTTGCTAATATTTGATTTGCACTTTTCCTGAGCCCAATTCGTTTTCTCCAGATCGAAAGTTTAAGATCGAAAGTTTCTACCGAAAGCGCAGCCAATTCAGACATCAAACCACGACTCAGGACTACTCTAAGAATCCATATTTTGGCTCCCAGCTGACTTACTGATAGTTAACGAAGTTTCTATATTCCTCTTTCATATCTGAAATTTTTTAACGGTTTACAAAAACCGATCGAAATACCTCGCGCGAGTCAGATGACAATCCTGTTACCGAAAATAATTCGATACAGCTCTACAGGCTTTATTGCGTTTGTTTAAAATTTGCCGAAATCAAAACAGTGGTCTGTCTCCGAGAATCTAAAACAGAAAGAACGCGTGAAGTCCCCTCAGAGTTTCAGTGTTTTGTTGATAACAGGGCCGGAAGTTAAATGAAAAGGAGCTTTCCAATCAACACCAAATTAGGTATTAAAGACCAATAATTATATCAGACACAGACAAAAGGAACTGAAGGAAAACCCAATAGACTATTTGCACGAAAAGGTATTCTTTTATATTATATTCTTTTATATTTTAAGGTAATATTCACCTTAAAAAATTACTTTTTCATCCTGAATTGAAAAGTCGAATTGGTTTAAGGGCAGAATGTATTCCGTCCTCGTATGTAAATTCTTCAATTTAGCTCAGCTTCAACACAATGCCTTCTATTTATGCAAACATTACATCAGCTAATTTTTGGTTTCGATCCTACATAATGAAGAGTGTCGACGTGTGTAAGCAGAAAGGGCAGAAGAATTTGCGACGTTTACGGGCGAGTGAGGTGTTGGTTTGAAACTTCTCTATCCAAGCAAAAAATGGTTCGCCATCTCCTTCTATGTCTTTTCATCAGCTTCTTTCTTCATCTAACGATAGTCCAGGCCTTCTTCTGCAATGACAAGAGCTGTGGAAGATGCATGAACTCGAGATTAATTAAATGTCGATGGTGTAAACGAGATAATAGATGTCACAATCCCGGCGCCGTTCTAACAAATCCTTGCAGCAGAGCGGAAAATATTGTAAGCAAATCTCATTGTGATGACGAACTGCCACGCTATGATCCTAAATTAGCCTACAAAATGTTGCTTCTTTCTGCTGCAGCATACGACTCAGTTGATCCGCAAGAATGCCTCAACAATTCGCTCCCATCTGGCAAGTTTCAGCTTCAAGCTGTGGTGACAAAGAATTGTGACGTCTTCAATAACAGCTGCTCAGGCTATGTGGCTGTTTCACATGCGTTGAAAGTAATCGTAGTCGCTTACCGTGGCTCTCTGGGTTCAGATCAATCAGCGGCCATAGCCGAGGAAACTTTGCTTAAGCCCATGACAACTTTCCTCCGTGGCAAAGTTCAATCCTATTGGAAGAGAGGTTTCGAGTTGTTATGGCAGGCAAGCATGAAAGCGGAAGTGGAAGCTCTTCTATCGAAAAATCCAAAGTACAAAATCTGGGTCGCAGGGTATTCTCTGGGTGGTGCAATGGCATCATTAACCAGCACATGGATCAGTTCTTTCAAATTAGCTCCTCGCGAAAACATCATTTTGTACACGTTCGGCATGCCTCGAGTTGGAAACTACGACTACGCCCTGCAACACGATCAATTGGTCAACAACAGTTGGAGAGTTGTGAACGAAAACGACTTAATTCCTCATTTCCCCATAGTTGTTGGAGTCCCTAATATCTTCACTGGTCCGTACCACCATGGCGTAGAGGTATTCTACAGCGACGGAGCTGCAAGCGTTTATTCAAAGCACAGAGAGTGTCACGGGAAACCATACAATGAAGATGCCACATGCAGCTTCGCTGAAAAGCACCTTTCTATCAAACGGCACTTAACCTACTTCAGCATTCCAGTAGGAGGCTTTTGGAAAACAAGATGCCTTCATCCATGATCAAAGAGCGAGAGGCACCGAAAGACTCCGCGGACCGAGTTTTTCGACGAATGAGTTACACGTATGCACTGAACATTTTTAGTTAAAAGAAAAACAGGGAAAATGAGTTAGATTAATTTCGCGGACTATACTAACGAAGACAAGTTTCATTTAACCTTAAATTTTACTTATTTTATGCAGCAGAAGTAGCAATCTTGTAAAACTCGATTTTCAAGAAAACTCATGTGTTAATCTTGTTCTATTACTTGGTGATTCAATGAAGTGCGTGCAAGGGGAGCGCCTAACGTTGAACAACACAGTCAACTGCATGATTTCGTCTTTTTATTCAAGTGTGGAAAGGTAGACTTTAAGTAGAATACTGGCTTGTAGGCAGAATTTGGAGGAGTGACCAATCCAACCACCTGTTAAGTCGAGAACAGTAGGAAAGACGAGACAAAAATGGGCTAATCATTGACCACTCGGGTGTAATCCTTTGTGTAAGTACAAGAGGTTACAAACTGCAGACAGGTATAATAATGATGATAAAATGAAAGTAGAATGGTTGGGGTCAGAAGTTGAACAATCATTGAGCAAAAAGCGAAAGAATCTATCCGATCTGGGGACCAAACCATAACCTTTCTTTGGTTTTCAGGACTCCTTTTAGCCACTTTCGCCTTTATAGATTTCTGCTGAAGACCATCTGAAGGTTTTCGCTTTCCCTTCGAGTTCGTATTCGTATTTTGCCTTGGGGCATCCAATTCCAATGAAATCAGGGCCTGATCGAGATGCTGCGGTCTCGCTTAAACCATCAATATCCTGACTATTTTGCCCCAAATTTGAGCTGTCAAGTATATTTTGGAGGCGTTGTTTGCGGAAAAGACCAGGTTGATAACGAGTGGACCCACGTAATGAACGAAAACTATTAATTTACAGCTCAAGCCTTGAATAAGAAATTAAAGCTCCACCAATGATAGTAAAAATTTGGTAAATAGTGTATTTGTTCTGTGGTTATTTGTCTCTCCTCCTTGCTGGGCCCTTAAACTCTCCATTTATTATCCAGTTACTGTGTGATGTGCACTTAATGCAAACTCACAGCTGACACATACACAAGATCGAGTCGAAAGAGTCTACATCTCTCTTTTAAAACTCTCTTGTCAATATCAATACCTTATTTAGCCAAGAGGTGGTAAGATAGGACGGAATAAAATCGAAAGTGTTGCCTTCAGTGGCAACTCATTCTCTTAACGTATCTAAAAGGAATTTATAACAACTAAATCTGTGCTACAAGCAGCTTTTTCTCTAACTTTTTTATTTAAGCCCTGTCAACAATGTCCTAATCATTTTCAAGCAGACTTGTTGGTTGGTATTGACCTTTTTGTCCATGATATTTACATTTCCAACATCTAAAACAAACGAAGGTTTTTTTTTAATCGAAGATTCATATCCAGCCATTCTTTCCGCCACAATCGTGATCATAAAGAAAACAGTAGTATTGCACAGCCTAGTTTCCCAAAAAACATTGAGATCTAGGAGGAAATTTTCCATGTTGAGATCGACACTTGAAGATTTGACCGATCAGTGCTGTGACCACTGGATGGTCTTCAGATCGACTCCTTCTTGCACCATTTCCCACAACGGGCTGCAATGAGCAAGATGTACAAATTAAAAAAAAAATGTTCATCGAAATGTTGCTTTGTCATGCACTGTGATTGGTCAAAAACTTTCCCACAACCAGCTCAACCAGTCAAATGCAAAACTAGACTTATTGCGTGCGTTTTCTACGGCTGTTGGTAACTTTCGTTGCTGCTTTTGTTGTCGTTTTTTTTTTTAAGGTCTTACGGGCTCCATCTGATAATTTACGACACTGGATGACACCGCCAGACTTTCGCTGTTAGCAGGCTTCATTGAACCCCGGAGACAATAAAATACACACTATACAGATTAAAACTACATGAAAGACCGATAAATAAAGGGGGTTAGTTTGTAAACAAACTGTGGTGCGGCGTCGGTGGGAGTATTACGAGAGAACATGGAGATATCAAGCTAGATGATAATGAAAACTAGCCACCGTAAGGACTCTCGAAAGCTAAAGTTTAGAACGTTAGCCCTAACGAAGAGCGTTAGCCGCTCTAACGAAGGGCTATCACTCGAAACGTCAGCTATGACCCCGCCAAAACAATTCCTGGAATGAGGAGATAGCGCTGGTTACCCGATGGGGCTAACTTTTCATTTCATGAAAAGTGTCGTAAAGAAACCAAAATCGTTCACTAAAGGATGATGGTGAAAAAAGAATTCTACAAACCTCATTTCGCGAAGGCGTTTGACATGTTTAACTGTCCTCTCCACAGTGTAATCTATTTCTTCTTCTGTAGTAAAACGACCTATTCCAAACCTGAAAATAGAGGAGATACAAGGAACAGAAGTGTACTTACTCGCCACAAACTAGGTTAAATTTTGCAAGTTAGTTCACACTTCACTTTATTCTGACAAGTAATGCCAATGCGGTGCTGGCATAAACAACAACAGTGAAAAAAGAAAAGACTCAAAACAACACAAAAAAATAATTGAATAAATAGGACGGTATTTCCTTGATCTAGAGGCCTCACAAGGGCCTAGCATTGATATTAGTGCCAGACCAAGACAAACCTCCCCTCGACTCGCCTCAAATCTTCCCGCTGGTAGAGAAATCATTATGAGCATTGAGTTGGTAATTAGCACCGTGTTTCAAAAGCAAGCTGACACGGCATATCAATTTATGCGTAAGGAACTAACGGTAATAACTATTCTCTGAGTCAAGGCATTTCACGCAAAAAAATGTCCTTGACACAATACCTGATGGAGGAGTGAGCCAGCTCTTCATCGGCGCCTATCGCTCGGAGGACATAGGACGGTTCCAACGAAGCAGACGTACATGCGCTTTACGAAAAAAAAAAAAACACCAGCGTCTGTCATCCTAGTTTCCATCCCCCTTTTTCATGCTCTCCTTTTAAGTCCCTCAAAAAAATGCCCCTGTATAATATGTCCCATTCATAAGTTCATTTCTTTCTCTATTCAAAAGCACTCGGGATAAAACAAATTCAACCAAACTTAACCTTTTAAAACGTACAGTAAGCTTTTCCTACTCAATAACTAACAAGGTTTGAGTGAATTTCATTCTACAGGTCAATGAAAACATACAGAGGGCAAAAGCACTCGATGGATTCTATTAATAAGCCTTCTCTTTCGAGATGTTTCTTGTTTGACACACTGAACTCTCCTCACCTGCCTGACGAAAGAGCCACGTCTTTGAGAGCCATCAGCAGACTTTCCCCCTCCACAAATGCAAAAGACAGGTTCACACATCCAGGATACGAATGATCCGGGTCACCGTTTCTGATGACGTGGGTTAACCCATCTGTGATGCCATTCACCAAGCGATTCGACAGTTCCGTCACCCTCTTGTGGTCATACTGCAGAATTGCAAATATACTGATAACTTAAGGCCAAATTCGCATCTCATTATGACGTCTTCACAGGGATTACACAGCGATATTTGGAGTTTTACTTGGATCGATCAACATTTTCGCTCATTGAAATAAAGCTTTACTCAGTTATATGGTGTTTTGCAAAGTGGATAAACACAAGAGAGACAAGGAAATAAACGCAGAAAGTAACAGGCATGGCTAAATATAGAGGAGATCAGTACGGGTTGAAAATAAAAATTTGGGAAACATTTATAAAAACTAAAAAAAAATGTGACATAGCCGTTTTAGAGCAATCTTAACCACAGGTACACTTTCCATTTTTAAAAATTAAAAACAAACAAAAATTTCAAAATGGAGCACGCCTTGTGGTCTAGACATCATATTACATTCTATTGTCTACTTACTGGGGGTTACAACTGAGAACCTGAAGGAAAAACCCAGCACTTATTCTTAGCTAGCAAGATCATGCTCTGATTGGTTTACCTCCAATTCCTCTAGAGCCACTTCACAGGCTGCACCCAATCCTACTGCCAACACGTGAGGGACTGTACCACTGCGCATGCCCCTAAAATGACCACATATTCAAATAAACCATGACGGTGGAAAAAAAAATTACTTTTAAGAAGACTTCCCCTTATCATCACTGAAAAATTTGAATCAAGAGGAATTTTTGAGGAACTGGACAAATTAGAAAATGTTAAAAACCATAAAAAAAGTTATTTAATAAGGGGGTGCATAATTACAATCAAAAAATGTATCTGCACAGTCCTTTATGACCTCTTTCCAGTTTGAAGAATATCTTTGTATCGTTTATGTATTGTACCTCTCCTGACCTCCTCCACTCTGAATAGGCTCTACCCTGACTCGAGGTCTTCTTCTGATGTACAAGGCACCAACACCTGTTACAATAAATCAATAAACACGTACAGCAATCACTCCACTGCTGTGCAAATCCTGTAAATCATGGCCAGGCTTCACAAAATAAACTGGCACGGATTATTCACTTTTTTTTTTAAGAAGTTAGCCAAAATGACTCACATATTTTTACAAGCACTACATAGAAAGAAAAAGAAGAAGGTTTGGGAAAGCTGAAGATTTCTTCCCCTTCCCTACCTGTCATCTCCAACTCATACTAAATGAACATGTAATGGACTGGTAAAAGATTACAAGCTTTCAATGCAACTGCACTCTCTCAATACATGTAAAAGCTTGCACTTTATGCAAGTGAAACGTACATGCTATAAAATTATTTTCAAAAGTGCTTTAAAACCAGCATGTAATAATTTGTATAAATGTAACACTTAAAACCACAAAATCAGACAATATTATCCAACTACTAGAGACTAAAAGCATGCAGGCAAAGTGGTGACCTGCCCCATCAATGACATTAAGTAAAACTACCATGGTGTCTTTTTCTATCCATTTACCTTTTGGTCCATAAATCTTGTGGCCACTGATTGACATCAAGTCAATCTTCAGGTCATTCACATCAATTGGAATCTTCCCAACTGCTTGTGCTGCATCTGTGTGAAAGAAGACTTTATTCTTGCGACAGAGGGATCCTGCAAGAGACAGCAAGAAGAAAAAATCATTATTGGTGGATCTCTAAATTAGCTTAGTGTAGCTGACTGCTTTTTGTTGGACATCAAATAATAAGAGATTACTTCACTAGACCTCTTCCATGATTTAAAATTTCAAAGTGGTATACATGTGCAATGTGCACCTTTAACACCTTTAGCTGAAGCTCTAACAAAAAATTCATTTTTTTGTAATCTACATGTACCTGAAGTGGAAACATTGAAAAAAGATACAGGGAACTGGAAGGAAAGAAAACTAACCAATGATGTGCATTTATGTTGCAAAGGTGAGAAGAAAAGTTTGAAAGGCAAGTCATTTTTAAAACACATTTAGCTGTATATAGATAAATGATAATGTATACTTCACAATCTGCATACATCTATGATTTAGTCTACTAGTTATTTCAAGAAGGTTAATTGAATTAGTAAGATCTCACTGAAGACCAATCAGGGACATATGCACTTTAACGTAAAGGTACAGCAAAGTAGCATTTTGAATACACTAAGTGAGCCTGGAATGCTTGTGTTTCTTTTGGTCAGTCTTACCAATTTCTCCCATGGGTTGTGTGACACCAATTTCATTATTGACTGTCATTATGGATACAAGAGATGTGTCAGGTCTGATGGCTGCCTCCAGTTGCTATAAGATGTAAGACAAAATCAAGCATCTAAAGTGTGATACACAAAACAATCTTATCTGCATTTTCACCTTGAACTTCCAAGGTCTACATTGTACATGTAGATTTTAATTCTCCTTTCTAGCTGCTACACATTTCCTTGTAAATTAGTTACAAGAATTTGGTGTTAGATCAAGACAACCACTACTACCTGATAAATTTGAGTATACTAACTTTACTAACTTGATAATGTATGGATGTAACAGGGAGAAGTTGTATGTTTTATCACCCCTGGGAGTTAGAGGGTTAAGTTTAGAGACGAACATCAAATTAAATCAAGTGTCTTATTATAATTTTCTAACCACAGGTTGTTGGAAAAGTAGGACACTAGTTTGTGAGCCCCTTACCTCAGTCATTGTATGAACACACAAAATCTTAGTTGTCCTCAGTTATCACAACTAAATTTTCAAGTACCACTTCACATACCTCCATGTCAATAAGTCCATTTTTCATTACTGGCAGATATGTTACTTCAAACCCTTCACTTTCAAGTGAGCGGCAGGAATCCAAAACACATTTGTGCTCCTATCATTCAAAACCAAGTAATACAGTGATCAAAACTAACAAATTAAACCAATAAATTTTTGGACAAACTACATGCAAATGATGTATGAGCTCAAAATTGAATTCCAACACTCACTGTTTGAGTTGTTATGATATGTTTCTTATTCTTTTTGTAAAAGCGTCCAACTCCCTAGAAAATTAAGTAAACAACATCAGTGAAATTATATATGAAGTATTTATTCCCTAACATCTCAGTATCATTAAACAACACAATTATCAACTCTGACTCTTAAAGGTGGCTACTGTTAGTACAAAGTCATGAATGTAGACAGAGACATGTACATGAAGGGTACTACCATAACAAAGGCATGAAAAGAATATGTCAGAACATTCAATTATGGTTCAAAATTGCAAATGAGTAGCATCTCCTTAATGAGGCAATCAAATTGGCTACTACTGAGCTCAGTTTGTGAGAATGATTAAAAAGGTGCTTTAGAATCTGACCATTATTTACCAATTACGGTCAACTTGCCAATGCCATCTCACCAATGTATAAAATCGAGTAGAAACATCGGTGAGTTGGTCTTCAATCCAGTACAACTTATTAGAAGTTAAACATATAGAAAAGTAACTCTTTCTTAAGATCCTTATAAACTTTGTTGCAAATAAAAAGAATTGCGTTTTACTAAAGATCTTGTCTAGAAAGCCAAGTTTTCTTTAAAAAATCTGAGCAATTGACATGATGAGTCTTTACGGTGTTGTTGTCACACAATAACTTGTTCGCGTCTGAAGCAGATATAGTAATTGGCGATGTTTACTTTGCTTTATTCACCTTGAGATCCTTATAAACTTTGTTGCAAATAAAAAGAATTGCTTTTTACTAAAGATCTTATCTAGAAAGCCAAGTTTTCTTAAAAAATCTGACCGATTGTCATGATGAGTCTTTACAGTGTTGTTGTCACACAACAACTCGTTTGCGTCTGAAGCTGTTAGAGTCATTGGTGATGTTTACTTTGCTTTATTCGTATTGAGATCCTTATAAACTTTGTTGCAAATAAAAAGAATTGCTTTTTACTAAAGATCTTGTCTAGAAAGCCAGGTTTTCTTTAAAAAATCTGAGGGATTGACATGATGAGTCTTTACGGTGTTGTTGTCGCACAATAACTCGTTCGCATCTTAGCTGTTATAGTCATTGGTGATGTTCACCAATGTTCACCAATGTTTAAGCTTCTGTTTGATGTTCACCAATGTTCACCAGTGTTTTTTTACTAAATATCGTTTACTTTTCTGTATGTTTAACTTCTGATAAGTTGTATTGGATTGAGGACCAACTCGCCGACGTCTCTACTCAATTTTATACATCGGCGAGTTGGTGTTGGCGAGTTGACTGGATACCTTATTTACACTTATACTGATGGAACACAATTTACAATTAAATTTTGGCCCAAAATAGGGATGCCATACATATCTGCTATGACAAAGTCTTTTGTGTCCATTTAAATACATGTACAATTTCAGATTGGTTTAGCCTGCACTTCAACTGCTGGTTAACAATTAAGAGATAACTACATGCACCTTAAACCATCAGTGCCCTTTTGACTTACATGGCAGTTCTTACAAGGATGTTGTAATTAGCTGAATCATTAAAATATTACAAGCTTAATCAAAACATATACATGTATTTTCTTGCATCTTCAATTTGGAAATTATGATGTTGTTAAACTCTGGAAAATTTGGCCCAAAATAGGGATGCCATACATATCTGCTATGACAAAGTTTTGGGTTATTTTAAATAACATCTATCCACACATGTCACAAAATTACAAAAACACACTGGCTGATGTGAATGCCAAAATCAAAAAAATTTAACTTACACCATACCTTAACAGATATGTTGTTTGATTCTGTAGCCCCACTAGTAAATACAATTTCTTTTGGATCTGCACCAATCAGGTCTGCTACTTGCTATAAAAAGGAGATAGGACTTCATGTTTACTGTGTCAATATGAAATATGGCTACCATATATATAAATGAAATCAAAAGACCTGCTCATTGTTTCCAAATCATGTAAATTTACAAGGAATTTGTCCTTCACATTACCTACATATCAAGACAAATTCAACATACTGTACCCCCTAATAAACAGATGAAAATTGTCTCCTGGCCAATAAAACAATTTACAGCTAGGTAACATTGTCTTTGACCAGAAAAGGTTTTATAAAATTATAAAATTAAATACAAGAGAGAAGGCAACATCATGAGAAATAACATTCCCTGCTCTAAGAATACCCTTAAAATATCTAGGAAACAAAAGACAAAGTGGGTGGGAAAGAAACAACACTTCAAAAGCAGTGCACCACCATGAGCAATCAAAAGACATCAGTAGGATGTTCAATCCTACTGATCTTTCAATATCCAACTTTTCTAGCTGGAGTGCAAATAATGTAAAAATTGAGTAAAAATATTCTGTTATTGTACAGTTATTTGGGACAGTTTGTTATTTTGCACTGTAATCTGATGCAAGATTTACGTAAGCCATATAACAAACTGCTTCTCTATTTTCTTTGCATTTACTGCCTTAAAAGAAATGCATATGAAATAAAGCAAATAACTCTTGAAACATATTGGTGTATGGTATCATTGAATAGCTTTAACTTTGTATTTTGACCAACCTTGTGGGCATGTCAAAATTTGGCATGACTGGTGAAAAATACTCAGCAATATTACACACCAAAATGACTGATAGGACAAACCATGTATAAATAAATATATAATATATATTTCCGAGATGCAAACAGCTTTCCAAGTTGAAAACTGTGAGCTCAAAGGAACAGATAATGTCCAAGGTCAAATATACCACATAGACGTCAAATATACAAATACACTTTGGCCCAAAATAGAGGCTAATGCGTTTATCACCCTTCAAATATTTTAAAACAAATTTGAAATCATCATTGCCTTAAAATAAATTTTAAATGAAGACTCATCATAGTAACATAAGGTAAAAAAATTGGCGAATATCACTGGGGAGGTATTGTGACATATCCCTCAGTTTTAGTTGGGTAATAAACAGCTACATGATGCATTTTGACCAATTACTCATGAGCAAAACTGTTTAATGGATCATAAGTGCTAAAAGAATTCCAATAATAGAGTAAGGGGATTGCCTCTTTGTGGCTTCTGTCAATTGTCTATCTCTTTCGGAAAAACCCTTGAGTCCATGCATTAATTAAAAGTTGTCTGGAAAATAATACAAATAAAATAAATTTCATGTTATTATGTGGATGTTACAAGTGGATCCTGCTGTGTACCTTTCTTGCATGTTCCACAGCCTGCTCACTCTCCCAGCCATAGGCATGTGTACGTGAGTGTGGGTTTCCATAATAAGATACAGAGTATGGCATCATAGCATCTAACACACGGGGATCCTTCACAAATAAGTAAATAACAAGGATATCATTTGTTTCAGTCCTAGGATCTTGAATGCCTAATTCTCTTAACTGATCATCATAAACCTCTCTTTGCACTTGTTCTGAACATTTGAATTTTAACCTTTAAACAACACATGTAAAGTATCTCCTTATCAATCATTTATTTTCAACCTCATCAATATAAACAGTTCAAATTCTGAGGCAACTACATGTCCTGATCAAGACTTCTACTCACAGAATCATTCCTTCATTCTCCATTTTATAAGGACATGAAATAAAGGAACTTGCTGAAAGGGTATCCAGTTGGATCGCACCATGGTTAGATCACTCCCAGTTAGATTGCTCCAACCAAAAGTTAGATTGCTCCACTCAGAAGTTAGATTGCTTTATCAAATAAGTTACTTCGCTACCAACATAAGTTACTTCACTCCATGTTGTAAAGTGAAGTATTACTTACCAATGATCTAGTTAAAGTGTAACGGTGATGATGTATCTTGCTACGATTCAAGTACATCACTCTGTCCTTCATATGAGCCACTGAGCTACCAATGTATGGTGTATAGTGATGATGGAATAAATGATCGTGGAATAAATTGGAACATTATAGTCTGAAGTGTATGGAAAAAGATCATTCAAATACCAACACTATCCAGTGAGGCCTTTTTTGCTGTTTGATTTAAGGAAACTGATATCCACCATCTTTAACTAATAAAGTAGATTACACTTTGTGAGTCCCTTTCATGAGGCTTTATTTGTTCTTTCTGCATAGCTCGGATTTATTTCAAGTGTGGGCAAGTGATATTAATTGACTGTCTGGTAAGATATACATGTCATTTAACGAACTATCAATTTAGATACCTAAGTTTTGCTACCTTTACCTTAGTTTTCTACATGGAGTGAAGTAACTTATGTTGGGAGTGAAGTCACTAATTTGATGGAGCGATGTAACTTTCGAGTGGAGTGATCTAACTTTTGTTTGGAGCAATCTAACTGGGAGCAATCTAACCATAATTTGCTGAGAGAAACCAACAACATCATAAAACCCAATGGTTCACTTTCTATAATCTAAGTATACAGTGTACATGGTATTGACACTGACTTGTTTTCATGTGTGAATTTGTCTATTGCAAAATATTACCATTTAATCATAATCTTAAATTACCTTGATCACCATCACATAAAATTTGGGCAAATCTCCCTAAATGTTTTAATCCAAAAACTACAAGGGACTGAAATGCTTCTGTGATCTCTCGGACATACATCTTTGAAACAGGGTATGCGAGATTTCTGTATTACTTTTTATTACTTGTAAATTTAGTTTGTGTAATGTCATTTTGCATATGTATTGGGTACTAAGCCAAATCCGAAAAAAGTGTTTCTTACCAGAGGGGTGGTTGCTTGTGCATCAAGGTAAAGAGGTCTCAACTCTGCACCTTCGTTTTCTATCAAATTAGACAATTTACAGAGTTAGATGACATCTAACTGTAACAGCAAGAAAAACTTAAAATGTTTCACAACATGTAGGGAAACTGCCATCTGCACTAGCTCCCCCTGTCTACCACACTACAAATGACTTAAATTTACAGTGATAACACTACATCCAAAACCACATAGTGTGTCAGTCAACAGAACCAACACTCGGATGATTTTTTGCCCTCAACTTGCCAATACAGTGTATGTCACTCACTTCAGCAGACAACAGTCCTTTCAGGACCACTCTCACTTTTGTGACTACACTTCTTAAGTAAAGAGGTGCATGATGAGAGAAACCCAATATGCAACTATGGGCTTATTTGGTTCTGAATGAGGTTACGTCATTTTGAAGACTGTCTCACTAAATATCACAACATAAGGATAATGATTAGCTTGCCTAAATATGCGAAAAAAATACAAAAGAACTAACCCGCTATACTGATGTTCAACTGATCCAACTACTTTGAGCTTAAGTCACTCTTGATCAATGACACGTAAATTTTCCACTCCAAATTCAGGTTACAAAGGACACCCCTAAGTTACAAAAATTAATTTAAGAAAGAAACAACAAACCTGTACTAGCTACCCTTGTGGCAGCAGCAGTGGTTTCATCCGTCGACGATGTTTTCAAGCTTTTTGTCAACAAAATTCGACATGGTAATGAGACCAGACGAGGCTTAACCAACAGCCTACTCAACATGGCAAATTGTGACTTTTCCTTAAAAGTATTAAGAGTTCAGATTCGGTCTTCAATCTTTGTAGATGCGCTTATCTACTTATTTTGGTGACACAACAAGTGAGAATGCTTGGTGACCGAGCCTAGAGTACTGTCCCGTAGGGACCCAAAGGAAAATTCGGGAAATCCCGACATGCCAAACTTTTTAGCCTTTCGTACTAGAGCAGGATGCAAATGCTTGTGGTTTTAGCATAAACTCGTGCAAAAGAGCGTAACTTTTGGTTTAAAAAGTACTCTCCTTTTTTATCAATTCGAAAAACGACAGTGAACATTAAGGAAGCTGCGTACGAGCCATGAGGGTGATTAAACCCTTCGCACTTGGCAGAGTGCGTGACTACTAACCTGCTTTTAGGGATAGGAAAGTAAAACGCTTGATTTTGGATCATTTAGAAAATTAATTGTTCAAATTGAAAGAGTCTTACTAAATTAAGTCGATGAAACTCAGAGATAGGCACGCAATGAGTACAAATGGTTGCCATAAACTGGCAAATAATGCATCATGGCTTGTTATTCGTTGCATGCGAATGCGCTCTGAACAATGTGAGGATTCTTTCTTTGTTTTCACATCATGCCTTAGGAAACAAAATTAAAGTGTGGATTGAACAGAACGTGACGCTCATCGATTGTTAGGTCATACTAGCGCGTCCTGTGCAAGAAATAAGTTGGAAATTAGATCACGTCTTTTCATTTAGCCGCCAACAAGTTCCTTTCCACATTAACAGGCTCTTTAGATCACACGCATGTCCCAGAGTTCACAGAACGCAAAAAATTTACCAGACTCGAGTGAGACCGAGCTAGGCTTTGTGGTTAAGGCCCAAGCCGCTCGCAACAGTGGGCAACTGACGTTAACGGCTTACCAGTTGGCTGTGACCATTACATCCGGTCTGGTTTTTGAAGCTTACAGACTTCACTCATGCTATATCTTCCTGTGCGTTAAAAAACGAGGCCAATACAGGAGCCTCGTTAAGATGGGTGGATCAATTGAAAAACAGCGACAATTACCTTACCATGAGGAAATTGCGTCTTTCAGAGTTATCGAGCGAAATGGCAGTTAATTACGATCTCATGCGAAAGCATGACACTTCAATCTTGACTTTTCTAGGACATCACAAACCTGTGTCTAAAATTAGTATCAAAGGGCTCAACCTTAATATGGCAATGACTTTCTCAAAAATCCTCCTCTTTACAACGACGTTTAGATCTCGTAGTGATTAAACTTAACTGAATATTTAAAGTTCGTTTGCGAAGTTGATGTCATGTTTTCCCAGCGTTCGATTCTTCACAATTTGTTTGCACTAAATTCGAAATTGGACATCTATACCGATACTGCAGTTAAAAACGGTTTTTTTCTGAGGAAATATCTATGGTTCGGCTACATTTCAGCCGAGTTATTTTCCAGGCCCTTGATCTCTACGTATATGCGACAAGAAGTGATAAATGAAAAACATGTTTGGCTTGGTGTGGATCCGTATCTAGCCAAAGGTCAAGTTTAGCAAACTTGAATATGCAAATGTCATTAAGGATAACGACAAAACCGGTTCAACCACTGTTGACACCTTGCACGTGAAAGAAGCGTGTAGTTTTTCGACGATTCAGTGCAATTGATAGAATCTTGTCCTTAACTGGAAACCTTGAAGCTCTCTCAACTAATTTTTGTTTGTTTTCAATTATCTTTTTCAGAGGGAAGATTTTCACTGTGGTTGGGATTTAGCGGATTTGAAGCAGCAGTAAAGTTGCTTTTTGATCGACCAATTATTTTTGAAAGTTGTCGGAAATGTCGTCTGAAAGTATTTTCGTATCCTTTTACTCCGATGGAACGATTCCTGAGCGAGTTAATTTTGAAATAATTACAGAAAATTTACCAGAGTAGCTGGTTTATTTTCCGCCAGACTAGTGTAGGCAACACGGATTTCCCGAAGGTTTCAAAGTTAAAATGTTATTTCCGACTCACTAGAAAAGCAGTATGAACTGTGTTCAGTGCAATTCCATCGCAAAACTACATAATGAAACTAGTGATTGACCAGGATTTAGGAGACCTCAGGATAGTTGGTCAATTCAATGTATATGTTTATGTTCATGCCTAATAAATATTCAAGAATGAAGAAAAACATTCTCCACATGCAACTAGTCGCTTTTCTTGGTCCGTGTCGACAAAGTAAACGTGGATTTGCAACATATCTGTTTCGCTTTCTGTTCTCCGTGGAAGTCCCGAAATATTTCCTTGCGTACTTGTACGAAAAATTGTACTTTTAAAGAGCATTTAGCAACCAGTCCATCAGTCTAAAATGATAACTAAACAAAATTATCCAATTCAATGCAACTACACAGGTAATTGAAAACTCTCTGCGTAAATGTCACGACTTTAGCGAAGGAAATAATAACAGACTGAACGCTGTGTGTTTATATTCTTTCGTGAAGCAACTCGAACTTTGCATTGCGTGAGATAGCTTATCAAGTGTTTGTATATTAGCATCAAAAAGACTTCGGTGGTGTGACTCTATCTAACAGTTCTTGCAGTGTAAATTACGGTCATTAGCATAAGAAAACAAGAAATTTCGCTTCCCAAGTTGAAAGGCGAATGCAAGGGATTAGAAACTTCATGATTTAGTTCCTCACAGAGGCAAAATTCATGTGCATGAGTAGCTAAGCTTTGGTCTCTTTGAAACTATAAAATTAAAAAGCGTTTTGAACCAGCAGGTTGTATCTCCTGAAATAATTTTTTCGTATCAGCCGGAAACTTGCAAAACCGGTCATGAACCCGGCCCCAAACTCGACCGACTTGCATGGCTGCAAAAAAATTTTCGATCAAAATCTTGAATCGACAGTCGTTTGTCGGTAAACTCCACACAGCGTTGAGGAGGGAGTTTCGATGGAGGTTTGGTCAAAAATCGAATTGAACCGACGGAAAACGGTCGAAAATTTCGACCTACTTTGTTAGAAGCGCGCTGTGGATGTGTCAGCCAAGAGCACAGCTGACTTGAAGATCGAATGGAAGGGAAAGCGCTTCGAGTACAGCTCGAACGAAGAGTCGACTCGTGTTGGTCGTGGGTAGTGTGTTTTTCATCTTTCATCGTTCAGTTTTTAATTCTTGGAACTCACAATTCATTCGGTTCATTCTTTGTGGCATTGTTGGAGGAATTTCAGCGGAGTGAAGCCGAGACTGGTAAGGAAAATTTATATTTTTTGCCGCAAACAAAGCTCGCGCGCAAATAAAAAATTTATCACCGTGACAGGTTATTTTAAAAGAAAAACTCTCGCAATTTTTCATAGCAACGCAGCTTACACCTCTTCTTTTACAATGATGAACATTTTCCTTCAGCGCAGCGTGGTTAGAAAAATCAAAGCGCTTGACATTTCAAAGCCGCTATCCGCGCGATGGAAAAAATTTTCTTCTCGAGTGCTCTATGTTATATAACACCGCATCTGGTTGATATATGCAGGAAAATGGAAAATGGGTGGTCTGTAAACAACTCTTATGAATAGGGCAGGCATAGAGATAACTTCATTAGTAAATGTAGAAAACCTTCAGAAATTCTGCGTCATCGATTTTTTTTTACCTCCGGCACAGTAGATCTACCGGCGTCTAACGGGAAGTTTTCTGTCGCATAAACCGGTGATGATCTAAGTCTTAACTTGTTTCGCGGCTGAGTAACGCACAAAGGAAAAACCCTAAGTCATGTGACCGCACCCTCAGGGCGAAAGCGGAAAAGAGTTCAGAAGGCTGATCCTTTCGCTTTCAAGCGCTGCCGAGTCACCACTAAAATTTGTCATTTTTAATTTCGTTCTTAAGCATTTTTTTTTTCGCTCCTCCTCGTGTTTTTGTTGACTACGCAATTCGCGTAATCAGTTTCAATAATATTGTCTTCTATGAACTCCTTGTTGCTACTCACTCACTCGCACATATTTGGATCAATTTACAGCTTCTGTAAATATCATGACATTTACACGCAAAACGGTTCGAACTTCGATTAAAATCGTGACGCCTCATAACATCATTATCATAGCTTACTAGACAAACGAAAAGTTAGTCGATGCTGGCGCTGCGATATTGTTGTTAGTTCGCCGTTCTCTTGAGCACCTGATTTCTCGTGAGATTTCGAGAAATAAAACCGGATTTCCTTGATCAGGCCATGACTATTCAGATTGCATGACACTGGAGATTGTTGAAACTCCACGTGAAACATGAAAAACGTCTCGAGGTATCTCCGAAATTAAACGAGAGGAAATGGCATCGATTTCTGTAGAGAATATGATTGGAGCTTTAAAATATAGGCAAACGTTTGCTTGCTTCGTGTGAGTCCTTTTTTTGTGGAAGTCGGCCAGCGGGAACATGGTAAGCCTAACATGACAACGACTTGCTAAACAGGGTTTTCCCGGAGATAAATAATTATAGAGTATAGCTAATCTGCATCATAATGATGCGTCGTCTCGGACGTTGAAGCTGCAAATCTCCTCGCATAATAAAATTGTTTCGTTTTCTTTTCTGATAGAACAAAACAGCTGATAATGAAATTTAAAAAAACTTATAATCACAAGTTAAGCTCTCATAAGCAATCTCCTCATAGTACTGAGTTTCCGCAGGAGCCCATTACTCTGGTTTCCGGGAGAGGTTTGGAAAGAAAACAGTTGAATTGTTTACAAGGTATTCCAAGCAAACTCTAGCAGCTGTGTACACCCCGCTGGTCTTGAGTCCATAACAAATTTTATCATAGAGGGTAGTTCAAACTAAAGAGTTTTATTGGCAATGTATCCCACGAGTATATCAAAACAACTTTTCAGGAGAAAACTAAAAACGAGAAGCAAATATCAGACTCTAATTTGCGTTCTTTTAATTTAATCCTCTTTCTTTAAGCTCAGTTGATGCACGCAATGGTGTCAAGTGAGGTATCGAATATTTCGTTTTCTAACTCTCTTGCTGGGATTATTTAGAGTTCATTTTTTTCCTCAACGAAATTTTCAAGATTGTTTCTGGGCGATCGATCGGAGCTACAAGCAAACAGGCGTATTATCATATTTAAGGAATTCCTTTCATCCTCCAGTATCTCAAATATAAACAACTATTGTATTGA